GATTTGGATGCCTTTTTTTACAAAAATTTCTCTTATTATCCGCATGTCAAGAAATATTTCAAGATGTGTCCATAGCGCATGACTTTCTTGCTCAAGATCATCAAGTATGTCATGCGCATCCAAAGACGTTTGACTAGGGTAGGTATTCAATTTATCGTGTAACTATTAGGCATTGAAATGTGTCGGAATGTTGTCATTTCATATATTGCTCTCTCTCTCTCTCTCTTTCTTATCAATCATATTATACAAAGCATTTCATTTCAAACATTTTTTGGTTCTGGACATAAGAATCACTTTAGTAATAAGCGAAATGATGAGTTAAACATGATTATTCTACTGGTTTTTTCGATTAAAAACTAGTATAAAAACATTAATATTCGATTGGTTGAGTTGAAAATGATTAATCGAAGGCATGCACTAGAAATAATCAACATGTAGTCATAAAAGGTGATGATTTAAACACTTATTTTTTGTCAATGACGTTGCCAATTTTTTATTATCTAAGATATCCCTCAATGAAATAGTTTCAATCACGAAGTCTAGGCACAAGAACAATCAAGGACACGGAATGGTCGTATAATAAGATGCTTGAATGATTCAAAATAACATTTTACAATCCCGCAAAGTTAAATATAAAAAATGATCTTATACTTTCGTCTTCTGTCCTTTTTCTAATTCGTTCTCATGCAGCTGGCATATATGAATGTCATACAGAAAAAAGATATAGCATATCACATATAAAACATATGTTTATATTGCTAGACGCTTAATAGTTACTGAATAATAGCTGTATCAAATGAAGACGAAAATTGAAGGGCGCAACGTCTCATTTCGCATTCATTTACACACGACTTTTATATGTAATTGTACGATATCAAATTAAAGTAAGTATTCAATTGTAGTGTGAAAAAAAACATCTCAAAACAAAATGATCTGCAAATTACAGTTGAATGAGTCAGTTTCTGTTTTTATTCATCATATGAACTGAATTCTGTTGATCGATTCTTTTCACGTGAGTTTATATATAACTGATTATTAGATTCTATCTGATCATCAAATATCTGACGGTTTTATTCTAATCTAATTTTTTCGTTACAATAAATATTCTGAACTAGTTAGGCCACAAATAAAATGCATAGACGAGAATGAAATATTCAGTTTGATCAACTAATGTAATAAATCAATTTTGTATTTCAGTTTCTTTTCTTTGAGCAAAATTTTACAATTGAAATCAATTGATTTATTCGATCGGATATGATTGCACTTGCCATCGGAGTATCTATATAGAAATTTATATTTTCTTTAAACTAAATTATCCCGTATACAATATGTTTCTATGTTACTTAATTTGTTCTACTCTTAACTTTCACATAATTTCAGTACTTGCATTTTTCATCGTGACAAAATCTAGATTGTACGAGTTCTTATGTAAATATTCGAATTCGATTCGTATCCACAATGAAAACAATAGTTTGTTGACTATATTTGTTGTTCTGGTAGCTGTAACTTCGTAAAATAATATGATAGCATATATTCAAATGTATAAAGGTATAGTTTATTTCCGGCCCTTTCTTTTAATTCAAGTCTCTCAAATAGACACTTGTTTATTGTATGCTGTAGCAGTAATACAATGAAAATGTAAGAAAAATAATTGTATGAATAATGAGTTGTGCAGGTACATGCAGACCAAGGACAAAAAATATTTTCAATCAGTAGAAATAGCTTTTTTTTCATACATCATTCATCATGCTGACAAAAGGAAAAAAAGGTTTTCAATTTCAATTTTTCATTGAACAATAAACAGAATTTTATGAGAAAAGAAAGATTGACAAAATGTATAAGATTGCCAATACACTATGGGAGTCAAGTATTTACTTTTGTGATGTTGTTCGAGCGTTTCTAACTCACAAGTATTTTACGAGCAGGGAAAAAAGGCTGATGTCGCACCGTCGCGTGTGTCACTTCTTTTGTCAATCATCCGACATTGAAATTAGAAATAAAAAATAGGTAAGAATGTTGTCCAAAGCATAAATATCAACTTAAACCTACATAGTATTTTTTTTTCTAACTTTTTCGTTCATGTTCGTAAACATACTTTCAAATAATTACACGCACAAAAGCAAGGAAGTACGACATTTCTTGAATACTCTAATTTGTAGGCATATAATTGCCATAAATGACTTCGACAAGATGTCATATTAATTATTCATCTAGTAATATAGAGATGAATCAGTCTTGTTAATTCTCAATGATTATTTTTAATCATTTTATTACTGGGAAATTCAACTAAAGTTGTTTATATGAGTACTTAAGATATGGATGTATATAGTTTTTTTACAAATTTTTTGCTTTCCACGATCAATCTTATTCAACTGTATGAATAAGCAACCTTTTATATTCGTATACTTTTCGTTGCAATATAATAGAACATCATATACATAAGTCTTTATTTTGTTATTTTTCTCCTTCAGATAGATTTTTGTTCAACAATTAATAAAATGAGTAATTTCCATCCATCTCCATCGCTTGATTGTCGTACAACACCAATGGAAGTACAATTACCGTTCGTCCAGCAAGCTATGGATACTGTAGATCCAAGAAGAGCCGTGGTAAGAGGAAATGATATCCATCGTAGAAACAGATCGCGTTCTCCGTCACCTATGCCTAGAAATTGCTGCGATTATCATACACCATCTGGCCAATATATATGTCGATGCCCACCAAAACATATCACCAAATCGGTATTTTCAGAAAATATGCTTTGTCTATCTCAAATAGGAACAGTGGCATTCTATCAAGCTCTTTGTAGTGAATTTATTGGAACGATGTTACTTACATTAATATGTACATCCACTGGTTTACCGATTACATCTAAACCTGTACCTGAATTGCATGGTGCGCTCGCTACTGGATTTACTATTGCGACGGTTGTTGTTGCATTTGGTCATATAAGTGGTGCACATGTTAATCCAGCTGTAACAGTATCATTTTTAGTTGCCTGTGAAATTGATATAATACGAGCATTTTGCTATATTGGCATGCAATTGCTTGGCGCCATTAGTGGTTCTTGTTTATTAAAATATATAGCGCCTTCTGCTATACAAGGAAATTTAGGTCTCAATACAATAACTCAGGGTGTTACCGTTTCACAAGCTATTATGGTTGAATTGGTTATTACATTTGTTTTATGTTACACAGTGCATGCTATTTGTGATAAAAAACGTGAAGATATTGGTGGTTCGAAAGCGTTGGCAGTTGGCTTAGCAATAACAGTTGGTTGTTTGTTCGGTGGACCCTATACTGGTGGTTCTATGAATCCAGCTCGGTCATTTGGACCTGCTACTGTTATGAATACATGGGAAAATCATTGGGTTTATTGGTTTGGTCCATTAACTGGTTCAATTGTTGCTGCGATTCTTTACACATATATATTAAAACAACAAACACCGATTATCGTACGCACTGACTCTCGTTCACGTTCAAGTACTAAGAAAACAGTTGAAATATGAAAACAATCAAACGAAAACGAAAACGAAAAAATGAAGACTAATAAATTTTTTCACTTCTTCATACAATTTTAATTCAATAACCTGATATTTCAATAAAAGCCACAATGATTTTAATCAAAACAAGAATATAATTGCCTGGGCTTTTTCGTTTCTTTTTAGCTAATTTTTATGTACTAGTATTTTTCTCTATCTCTCTCTTTTTTAATACCAGGTAATAATTCTTCTTCTTGAGAAATCTCATATTTTACTCTTATGTCATGATTGATATGCACGCATATTAAATAGAAAAAGAAACAAAACTCTGCAATATATATATTTTATTTTAGATATATTACATCCATTAAAATAAGATAATTAAAAAGAAAAAATCAAAATCAAATCAATCGAATTAGTTCTGATTTAACTAACTAATTGAGATTCAAGTTGGCCTTGCGTACATTGGTAAATGATATTGATTATAATTTATATATTCTAAAATAGTTTTTTCGATCTCATTTTTATAGCCTTCAGTACGAAATCGTTGTAGAATATGTTTCTTGTGTTCATCAGTAAACTAAAAAAAAGAGAAATAAAATAATCAAATCATTTCCATAAAGAAAAATTTCTTTATATAGTTTACTATCAGATCACGATCGATCGAAGAAGAAAGTGATTCGAATATTGAATCTTGATTCTCCATCTTGAATAATAGATAAAGAAATAAAGAAATAGAAATTGAAAGGATAGAAAATATTTATAAATTTTCATACCAATGCTTTTTTTAATATTTCACGAACTTCAAGTCGAACATCAGCAAAACGATCATGATACACAGCAACAGCCCAATTTTCTTGAAAATATCTAATTGAAAGGAAACAATTATACAAGAACATAACAGTCGAATACATACGTAAAAAAGTCACTAATAAGACCTTCATTATAACGTTGTCGAAGATTATTAAGTAATCGTTCATGTAATCCATATAATTGTGAAAGATTATAGATATCAATTTTCTAAAGTATTATTATGTTGATAGATTTCAAAGGAAGAAGGAAACGAACAGAAATATTTCAATCTTACATTATGATGAAGACAAACAATAGTGCGAATGATTCCAGTTTGATCAAGATGAAGACGAAAATAGTTATTCTCGTGATTGGTTATAAAATCAGTTCCCTTGAAAATAGAATCATAGAAATCTTCGTTAAATCGACTGTTGAAATATAATATTTACATAGGTTTCAATCAATTTTGCATTTTCATATTTGACAGTAGGACCCGATTGACAAATTTCGAAGTAATGAATATTACCTAAAAATCAATAGAGATCATTTGTATCACAGAAATAATTTAAATTTCATTTAAAAAACGCAAGACGAAAACTATTCATTGTAATAAGATGTTAATCATATCACTTCTGAAATAGTTTTCCTGAATATAACTAAAACTAAAAGAAAAACAAAATTCATTCCAACTATATGTTTCGTCAGAAAAATTAAATATCTTTGTTGTCTCAACCATTCACATGGTACTATCATCGTTAGTAACAGCTTTAAAAACTTATCGAAGCACTAACTCTACCACTTATGAAACCAATACTATGCTATACTATTTATTATTATGTACTATAATTTATCCAAGTCGATCAAGATTAAATAGTATTCTATTATACGTAAAAGAATTTTCATATTTCTACGACAACGAACCGTTTGTCATAAATACCCTTGAGTTCTATTAAATGTTTGTTTTGATTTGTGTGGTTTGTTTTTCTTTTAGACTATTTCAAAAGTATATATTGAAAGCACGGAAAAAACTTAAACTTCAACAATATTATTGTATCATATGTATGAATCATTGTATGAAATGGCATTAAAACAATCCAATGTAAACAAACCTGGTAAAACAGCATAGATTCTTTTTGGTTTTTTATATGTTGGAATGAGTGGATTTTTGCTCGACGCTGTTTTTGGTGGAACGTAAATTGGATCATATTTTGCAAATAATTGATTTGCAAGCTAAACATAAATTATAGAAATTAAAAATAAAGCACAGTAGAGTGTATTGAATAATAACTAAACGTACCATGGTTCCGACTTCTTTTGAATTGAAGCAAGCGTGAGTCCAATCATCACGATGGTAGCCTCGTTTAAATTTTGTTAGAGATCCACCTGCATGAATTAATGGATCATTTGTATGATTGTTTTCATCAATAACAAGACGTCCATCGAATACTAATGAACTTTGATTTATTGCAATGAATGCATCATAATTAACTTGTTTATTTAGAAAACAGAATAAAGTCTAGAAAGATTTGAACATATAAAGGATAATTATAGAACAACAATATATCGTATAGTATATATGTGTTTACTGTGCATTTCAAATTAAGATTTTTGCTTTGCTTTTTATCTTTTGTTCGAAATACAACATGATCAATAGGTTGATTAACATCGATCGCACCTCGATTATGCCATTCTTCCATGGAATAATTTTCATAAACTTGTATATTTAATTTTTTTAATGTTTCACGAACAGTATCCAATACAGTTGGATCATTGAATGCATTTGTCTTTTAGTTATTAAATATATAAAATAACAAGAAATATAGGATTTTTATATTCCTATGTAATGTATGTTTTACCTGTGCCTGATCAGATGGTAATATAAGTTGTATAGAGTTCGATGGAATTCCATTTGCGAGAAGTGCATTAATACAACAATAAGATTCAACGGTTGCTCCATAAATCAAAATGGAATCTTTAAAAATAAAAAATCGTTCACCATTTTTATCTATAAATTCTTAAGTTTTATTTTTACGTTCAGTATGATGATTCATTCGAAGCCATTTTAGTACCATTGCAGCATCAAATTCATCATTAACGGTTAAAACATTTGGTGGTGGAGATTCTATATGGATATACGAAATAGAAAACATATTTCTTTATGGAAGATACATTTTTTTAGTATCAACATACGAAATAAAATTCGATCCGATTTTGCTGGTACAGGTTTTCTACTTAATGGATTTATCACAGTAGCTTGCATAGGAGCAATAATTTGAAACTGATTGCCTGTACATAAAAGTAAATGATCATAGGGTACAACCGTTTCATCATCAAGTATAGCCAATTTCATTGGACGATTAAGGCTAACTAGTTTCGCACCAATAATATTAACATACGAACGAAGTGAAAGACGTGTTAATTCATCTGTTTCATATTCAAGACTTAAAAATAACAAACAAATTAATTAGTTTTTAATTTTACATTATCTTCTCTTTTATATACTTAGATGGTAGAAATAAATTTCGAGTAAACGACGGTGGAAATTCACCTGGTATCCCATGTGGTGAAATCAATGTAAGATTATTGAAACGAAGATAAGGACTAGAAGAAAAAACTCGATCAATTGATTGATGTAAAACATTAAATCTTTTGAATCCTCATTTAATGGAAGTTTTTATTTTTCATTTAATAATAAATATTTTGAACAAACCGAATACTTACCACATTACAAGAGCCTCGAGTACAGCTAAGCCTAGAATATGATTCACTATGACAACTAATCTATTTCTTTTCATAACACACTTACCAACTGTTGATGCACCGACAATGACAATTCTTGTATTTATTGTGATCTTTAAAAATAGAAAAATTATTCTTTATTTCTATATAATTTATCTTTTGTTTACTTTCGGTTCCATAATAATTTTAATAGTTGAAAATGCCAATGCAAATTGACTATGCGCTAAACTTGGTAAACTACCAAGTACGCAATCAGTTGGTGCATTCATTTTTAATTTTTCTAAATTATATTGAATTAAACGACGAGGTCGTACTGGTAGAAGATAATGGATAGCATAAGTTGGTGAATGATGTTTGAGCATCTAAACAATAGTAGCCAAGAGAACTAGAATATTGAAAGAAACAAACGAATAGTAATACTTCATCATCTGCATATCGTGGAAATATTGGATAATAAACACATGTTTTATTAACTTTTCGTAAAACTTCTTTCATAAATAATTTTGTCATATAGGCAAATATTGGATTAATAACAAAATGATAAAGATGAATATGATCACTACGTTTATGTAAATCAAAATAAATAAAATCTTCAATATTATATTGTGAACGAAGATAATCAATATTCTTAAATAAGATTATTTATTTGTGAATATTAAATAATATGAACAGGAAGAAAAAGAAACTTACTTCTTCATTACTAAAAATAATCAGGGCACTTGTTTGATTGGCAACATTGATGACATACGCATCGAGAAATGCACCTGTGTCCTGAAAAAGTAAACTTAAACAATAAATTCTTTGAAATGAATTTGTTTTAAATGTTTTCTTTTTCACTTATTAATTTAGTTTAATTATTATTATAAAAGCTACAAATATTTTTGCATTTACATACACTTCGTTTTTGACTTTGTACTGCATCCAAAAAGTCATTTAAAATTCTTTCACGTGCAGAAAAATGTTCTGTAAGTCGTTTAACTGCATTAAGATCTTTTTCGGAAGCGCGTTCGATAGAAATATCACGTAATAGGCCAGCACGATGAAATAAATATAATTCTTGAATATTTGGTAAATTAACACGCGGTGGAATACGCTATAAATAATTTCATGGAAAAACAAAATGAAAGAATTATTAATAGAAAGACAAAAACAAAAGACATACAATAAATGATTGTAACAGTGAAAATTCTGGTACCATTTGTGGTATTGTTATTACACAATAATCACGATCAGGAAACATATCAAAAGCTTTTTGTAGAAAATCATACGAACTAAATTGTACGTATCAAGAGAATATTATCTTTCAAAATAGTTCATATAGATAATTACCGTTTTTCATATACTTCACTAATGCAAAATAATTGAATAGCAAAAGCTTTTTCTCTTCCGAAAAATTTCGGTGCATCACTAACTAATTTTGGTTTGATATATTTCGTTGGGTTTTCTGCTGCCAACTAAAATTTCATAGTAAATAGAAATAATTTCATATTTTGCAAGTTTGTTTTTCTTTCTATCGTGTTAAAAATCGCATGATAGGTAAGCATACCAAGCTAACGCTTAACAGAAATCTTTTCATTTCTTATAAAATACTACATGAGAATAAGAATTTATTGGAGCGGTTAACTATCGATTGAGAATTATTCTAATAACAGCTCTCATACTAATATGAGAAATTATTTCTGACTTGATTTTTACATATTAGATAGAAAATTGATCTGATACATTCTCATTATTTTAGATCAAAATTCATACTGAATTTAACTATATTTTACCTGTGCTTTGGTCATTTTAGCTCGATGCGATGATGTATCAGTTATTTCCAGTACATGATCATTGTTCATATTTTCGTCACTATTTAAAAATAGAATGTGTCATTGAAATCTGTAAATTAATTTCAATATCAAAATTCAGACGCACTCCTGTGATTGAGTAAGATCTTCAATGGATTTGTGCGGTGGTGTTGTCGTAAAATCTGATGCTGCTAAACTATCATGTTCAAGCTGTGCTCCTATAGTTTGTTTTGGATGTTTATTGTTTTTATCTCCACCATTCGCTGTTGATTCAATCGGCTTTCCATTTCCTACAGCTCGTTGCATAGCTTCAAGTGCTGGATTAGGTTTAACATGAATATTCCCGCCATCGTATGCTGTTCCATCGCCATGTGTATATGCATCAGTATTCGGTAAAGAACTTTCAGCTTCTTCGATCATTTGAACATTCCATTCATCATTAGGATGCGATGTACGTAAACCATGAAAAGCTGATAATGCATAAATTTCATTGAGTACATCGATATTTACTTCATTGGAAATACTCATGAAACCAACTGCATAACCATTACACTAAAGTTAAAATAAATGATTAGATCATTTTTTAAGTTTGTCAAAGAGATTTAAAAAATTACTTCAGCAACCAACGCTTTATTATTTTCATCTTGTGATTCGATAAGTTCAGCAACAAAAAAATCACCGTAAGTTTGTTTAAGCATATCATTGTATTGATTAAATAATGGTGCAAGATCATCATTGTCTTGTACTCTAGAAGAAGAAAAAAACATCTTTTTCAAGAACAATTTTAGACTATTTTTTTGTGTAAATTTTACCGAGCTGTTCGAATAAATAATGTTGGAAAATGATCTTTACGACGGCATATCCGCACCGTATAATTATTATCCGACCGTTTACATTCAAGTGGTTCAAAGTATTTGTCCAAAGCACTTTCTAATTAAAATCATTGCGATTATATTTTATATAATTATATAAAAAATATTTAATTCTAGAAAACCTGGTGTAACTTGCGGAGGAACACAAAGAAGAATTTGATTGACTTCTGGTAAAGCTTTAAATGTAACATTTATTAATTCTTGTGCGCAATCTTCCGAGAAATCTGGATGTGCAACAAAAAAGTGTAAAAATAATGTATTAATTGCATTCATTTTTGTTGTTTCATCATTTGTTGCATACGAATTTTTCCACCAGTTTGCTTCCCAATCACTCGATGACACACCATGAACGTTTGGATGATCATAGAAAGCAGCTAATGCATAAAATGTATGTTGCGTATCATCCAATGTTAAAGCAAATATTGAATGTTCCCTTTCGTTTAAAAAAGAAAGAAAAAAAATTTCATGTTTTTTCTGAACTAAAAATAAAAATTTCAGGCTTACAATATATAGGAAATATTTTCGACTCGATTGACACGACCAAATACATCAACTGTATATGTTTGTACAAGATCTTTTGCTTGTTTTGCATCGTTAGCTTCTGTTCGACGTGCATGAATATTCAATGCAGTATCTGGATGTGAGGGTTCTCGTACAGGAGCAGAAAGAAATGATGGTTGCATCTTTTCTTTTACAATGTTTAATCAAAATCTACAACTGAGAATAATAATTAGTATTATCGTTCAGTGCTTTGGCTACTTGATTGTACTTATAAAACTGTTTATGTTTCATCAAGACGAAAACAGAAAGAGAAAAAACAAACAAACTATGAAATACATGAACAATCTTTTCTTTTTTTTTGCTTCTTCAAAAAACAAAGAAATGGTAATTTAGTGGAAAAAGAAAGAAAATGAACACATGCACTAACAAAAAAAGATATCACACAATTGGTTTTGGTTTTGGTTTTCTTTTTTTTTCTTTATTGATTATGAAAGCACAGATTTGATGTGTTCTCGTTCGGGTAATATGATTTAAACATTGAAACAAAAAAAATAGAAGACTTCATTTTCTTTTGAATTACATTTTATACAAAGTGTGAGAAAAAAGCTTCATATATGTATGAAAAAGTAAAATAGATTGAATGAGAAATGAACATGAGAAAAGAAAAATAAATATATATTTATATGCATATTTCAGCAACAAGATAAACAAAACAAGATATATAGATATAGATATATATATATATATTTTTTCCATTCTCATTCACAGAAAAGCTACTCACTATGTTTGAAAGGATCTCTCACGCGGAAGTAAGAATAGAATAAGTCATATTCAATAGGAAAACACCTCTTTTTTTTCTAGTATCTCGATGGACGGATGGACAAAAGCAAAACAATAAAGAGCGAAATCTGACAATTATGATGGGAAAGAGAAAAAAAAACACCTTTAACGTGCGAATTAAAAAAAATAAGATTAGGGACCAAACAACACCACAAACGTCACACTAGAAGAAAGAAAAGATGAACATCGCTGGGCTGTTATTAGTCGAGAATGGAATTAAGTTGGACACCACCAATATGTGGTAACTTTTGGTGTCGATTGAGCTCATTTGTGGAAGAGAAAGTTTTCGAGTTAGTATTATTAGTTGCATTAAACAACGGTTGTTGTTGTTGATGATGCGTTGAATAAATACCATTATTTCCGCCTACGCCACTATTCACTCTACCACCAGCTACACTCGCATCACCATTGGACGTATTCTGTTGTTGTTGTTGTTGTTGTTGGACGGTAACTAAATGATGATGGCGAAGTACAGCTGATGGGCGATTTGCTGGTGGAGCTTCAGATGGAGGCTTTGGTAGACGACGACGAAGCCAAGAATGTCTAAAAGAAGAGTAAAATAAATATCCACTTTGTTTTTTGATTACTTTCTGGAATGATTGTTTCAGAACTTAGATGTTATTGTTTTCACAAGTAATACTAGTTGTCGTTTGAAAAAAAAGAAGACCGATTCGATACTGATTTCTTACATACTATCGGTCAATCTTTTTTCCAACACTAACTAACCATAAGTTAGTCACAATATAATTAGTCTACTATTGCAAGAGTTATTCAAGCAAAATACTGCTCGATGACTTTCCTAAAAATCATTGCACAGCTTGTAGTGCTAAACTTTGGATATTCTATATCGTGTGTGACCGTCGGTCAACATAACCGCTTGGATATAACAGTCGATTGTGACATGAAAAACAACTCTAAACAGCTATGAGAGGATTCGTTACCGATTTACATATTTTATATTCTCATATGTAGATACGTTTTCAATAGATCGCCTATAGAAACATTTGATCGTACTGAAAAATATTTATATTAAACTATAGAGAGTACTATTATTTAATGAATGACATTAGCTACAAAATTACCGTAGGGCTTGTGCTGGTGTTAATCTAATTTGTGGATCCCATTCTAGACAGCGTTTAAGAAAATCAATAAATAATGGGTCATCACAATTCTTCAGAGCTTGTGTCAAATCTCTAGTAGCCGGTGGTCCACGAAGTTTTCCACGTTTAGAACGACCTAAATAAAACAGAAAAAAAAAGAAAATTTATATTTAGTAATCACATTTAAAAATAAATTCTACTTACCGCCTTGTAAAACACTGGTTCCATCAGGTAATGTTGCTACTGTACAATATCGTGGATGTCCTTTCGAACTAATAAAATTTCTTGCTCGCTTTGAAGCATCGAGTACTTTTTGACTAGGTATTCCGATTACTTCAATGATGCAACTCAATTGGTCAGCTTCATCTTCGCCAGGAAATAGAGGCATTCCAGTTAATAATTCACTCAAAATACATCCCAGACTCCACATATCAATTGATAATCCTAAATAATATTGAAATAGAAAAAAGAACAAGCATTCATGATCAATTCATTCTTAAAGAACAAACCATATTTAGCTCCGAGTATAACTTCAGGTGCTCTATAAAATCTCGATTGAATATATGTATAGACACGTTGATGCTCAAAACAACTTGAACCAAAATCAATCACTAGAAAACACAAACTTTAAATTGAAAAAAAAGTCAAACGGATTTCTTTAAGCATACCTTTGATTCCACTTCTACCTTGCTGTTTCAATAATATATTTTCTGGTTTGAGATCTAAGCATTTACATAGTCAAAATTCATATTCATTTTATTCAAATGAACACTTTTTCTTTTGTTCTTACCACAATGTATAATTTTATTTCGATATAGGGCATCAAGGCATTGTAGTATACTATGTGCAAATTTTCGTACTAGTTGTAGGCTGAAGCCTTGAAAGCGATTTTTCTTAATCAATCTTTGAATTGAAAAAAGTTCTAATCAATTTAAAAGAGACAAAGAAAAAAAAAGAGACTTACTCATATAAATTCATAGATAGTAATTCGAATGTAATACAAATATGATTACGAAATTGAAACCATTCAAAAAGATGAATTATATTAAATGTATTATCACGGTCTTGTTTACGTAAATGTTCTAATATACGAATTTCTTCTTGAGCTTGTCGATGAAAACGTTTTTCATTACGAATTATTTTTAATGCAACTTGTTGACCATTTTTATGATCGTAACATTTAACGACAAGACCAAATGACCCTTTGCCAAGAATTTTCAGCACTTCATAACCTATAAATGAACGAAACAATTCTTCTTTTTTTCATACAATCAATTTCTTTCGATTCTGAACATACGAAATCCAATGTGATCATGTTGAATAGCAATATAGGAACCATTTTCATCATCATAATTACCTGAAAGAGAATATATTATTTATTTTCTCTATCAAACAAGAAATATATATTCACATTGCTTTTCATATTTAGCTAATCTTCAGACATTTAAAAAGCTAATTAAACGCAATCGATTAGCCTTGTTGCTATTTGAAAATCTATTTTTCTTCTAGAGACTTACTGTTACCATGTAGATAGAATAAGTGTTTATTGACATGAAATCATACTAAGGATTTAGTTTTCATAGAAGTTACACTTGTAAAGTTTGATGCATATATGTATGAAAATTTTATTTCTAAATTTGAATAGATATAAGGAAAAAAACTATGCATTCCTTTTGTTTGCAAACTGTTTAATTCATTCTAGGCTTTGTTCCTGACGGACTTCCTATTTATTATAACGGAGATTCTTGGGCGAACATTAAAAAATTAAATGTTAGCTCTTTCTGAATTATAAATCCTTCAGTCAGAATCAAAATAATAGATTCGTAAAATAACATTGACCATTTTTTTGCTAAAATCAAATACTTTAATAAATTTGACATACATGATATTTCTTAGTTACTTGTTTATTGTTTTTTTTCGTCTCTGTGATTTTATGAATTAAAAATAGTCTGTTTCAAATGGTAAGGTTTCTCACACTAAAAATACTCAAGATTGTATTAAAATTTGGAAATAATCAATGAAATTTTATATTGTTTTGATGTTCTTTGAAGAAAAATATAATCTCGAAAACGTAAATATAATAAAGATTTCTTTTAAGTTTTTACTATATAAAGAAAATTACTTTTATATATTAGAATCATGATAATTACTATAGTTTACATTAAAATGATTTTAATTGCTTCAGTAGAGCATTTATACATATATATATATGTATAAATGTAAAAAAAGAAGTAAGTTACAGCTTCTCACAAAAAAAAATCAAAACAGATTTCGACAGGTTACTATGTTTTTTTTTCAATAACTAACTTAAGAATATTAACGCATAGAAATAAATACTGGTATGTCATTTTCTTACCATTATTGGGTCCGCCGCCTACTCCTTGCCGTTTACGTGCATTTTGTCCAACGAAATAAATTTGTGGATAGGAAAATATTTCGTGACGTTCATAAGCTGTCAATTTCGACATGTAAGTTTTCATGGCAGTATCTGGATCGAGAGCATTCGTTCGCCGTTGTTGTGATGATGAATGTATACTTAGCATACTATCAGCACTTGGACTTTTACGTAACGAATGTTCAGAAGTTTGCTGAAGAGCAGGTGGTTGTGAAATACTATTATGACGAGTATGATGATTATTAGTGTAACCATTCGTTGTTCCATTATTATTATTATTATTGTTGTTGTTGTTGTTGTTGTTGTTATTATTAGTATTAGTATTTATTATTGTAGCATTGCCATTCATGGTGGCAGCAGAATCAGTATTTTGTATTTTATGTGATGTATATTGTGTATTCGATGGATGATGTGAAATTGTCGCTAGAACAGGGCTGCTCTCATATAATTGTTGAACTTGAACGCCGGATGGCCGCTGTTGGCGTGCACGAATCGGTGGGAGACTGGTTTGAGCTTGATAATCATACATTGAGATGGCTTTAAGTCAAATATATATTCTGACAGCAATGATGAGATTAACTAAAAAAAACGAAAAAGTTAAAAATAATTATGCCAGTAGAATGTGTTTATGTTGATTATTTTCATCACATATAATTTAAATAAACAACACTCGCCTAGCAATTGTTGCTATCGTTTCTAATACTATCGGGGCTTTTTTAAGGTCGCTAACATGACTAGTCGTTTCCGTCAAATTTTCACTAATGAGATCAAGACTTAAGAATTCTTTGGCATGCACTGGTACTGAAATAGTTTACTTGGAAAATCTAAAATAGGTTGCATATATATATTTAATAGAATAAAACAGAAAAAAACTCACCATTCTAAAGTCACACACGCATACATGTGATTTTTCTTTCAGATTCTCCCTCGTTTTCTTTTACTCGGAGAAAAAGAAAATGAATTCCGTAGTTATTTTTTCTTATTGTTTTTCTGTTGAACGTTATCGTCTTATTATAGATATGCATTTCTTTTTGTTTCTCTTCTATATTCTAAGGAAACATCAAAATGATCTCTCCTTTCTTAAAATAGATTAAGTCATGCGTAAAACTTCGATAAGATCTGTTTATTCGTACATACCTGTTCAATACCACTTAAGTTTTAAGAGAAAAATAGTATGATATGTCAGTTTTGAAGCAAGGTCAATAATCAAATAGTGTTTCTTTTTTTAATTTTATGCATGTGAGGTGAGCCCAAAAACAAATTGTCACCTATTAACACAAGTGAAAAAGAAAAAAAAGAAAAAGAGAAGCAGAAAGACGGGGAGGGGGAACAGGAGGTGAGAATTGCATTTGTGAAATGTGATTAAAAACAAAGACGGCAACATCGAGCAACAGAACAGGACACTTTCGATACCTCTCTATTAACTTAAAAATATATCTACACACTACGGATGTGAGTTTGAAACATAAAATGGGAAGAGATTGAAAGAAAGATTGACGAATTGAAACCACATATGAAAGAAATGACAATATACAATATGTTCATCAAAGTCTTCTATCGGTCAGTCTTCTTGCCCTAATTATGAGGTACTATTAACATTTTGTTTACCTGTCTGGAAGGTATTCTGGTAAAATTTTACAGTAATTATGAAGAGTAAAGTTACGTATGAGTCACAGTTGTTGTTTCAAAATATAATTGCCAAGGACACGTTCAAAAGAAAAATCAATTTCCATGAAAGACTCTATTCGTGCTTCTTACTAAAAGAATATGTTTTCATAGAGAAATTTATCTACATTATTTTTACTCATTTATCATGATTATTTTCTTTGAAATAATGATCTATTTTTGGTTTCAAAAGGATAAAAGTTTCTTATAGTTACTGATAGAACGTTCTATAACTAACAATATTACCATCTGTGTTTATACGCGCATATGTCGTCTTATCTTATTATTTTTTTTCATTTTCTTTTTATTTAATCACGTCGCTATTTATAATCCATAAAAACGTTCGAATCTCTTCGACAAAGTCAAATATATGATGGAAAGAAATCAAATTTTTGTTTTAGGAAATCAACAACAAACGATTTACTTTAATCCTAATACTTCAAACTATCTTCTATACATATATATGTATAATACGAGAATATTGACTGACGTATCAAACGTAGTAGAAACAAATATGAATAAAAAATAAATAAAAAGAATTTCTTTTCTATTGTTCTGACAAAAATCAAATTGAAGACACATACTATCTTACCTATGCGTATCGTACAGAAATACAATACATCATACCGCAGAATTTCCTTTTTTTTTCTATAACAACCGAAGATCTTACTCTCAGTTTCGCTTTGTTCTCTGCTGAAGGTCTATGCCACATTTACATACAAACACAGACGAAAGCGAAGAGAAGAAGGCAACACTAGAAAAAAAGAGAGAGAGAGAGAGAGAGAGAGTCGTATAGTCCATATATTTGTATGAAACTCTTTGAGAAGATCCGATTAAATGACGCTACTCTTGTTCCTCTAGTCTTTCAGGCAGGCACATGTGTGTGATGAAAATCAGATTAATTTATCATAAACAGAGAACAAGACATGGGGTTACCTACTCGCCGCCTTCTCTTTTTTCTCAATGTCGAAGATAAACGCAAATGAATATAGCTTAAGAGTATGTCCTAACCGTTGAGCTCGATTATCCTTCAGTAACTAAACAAAAAGAAAAAGAACGTCACCACTACCACTACTACCATCAGTACAAGCGCTGACGCAACTCAATAACGTTGATGAGAATGGGGGACAACATCGTTCATCGGTCGTTCAACAATTTCAACGTGTCAATTCAATAGATGCTTGTATTGGTTCGCTTGCTCGTTCGGGCCGCAATCGAGAATGACAACGAACGACACGAGAACAAGGAAAAGGAAAAGGAAAAAAAAAGAAACAACAACACAAGATTAGTGTACTATCATCTCATAGTAGTAGTAGTAGTAGTAGTAGTAATAATAACATTGAGCCAACAATATATACAGAGAAAAGAACGATAATAGTTTTCCTTCTTATTACACTTAGTTCTCTCTAAGATGAGCCAGTCTTAAACATATACATGTATCCATCCATGATATCTGATTACCATCGAACATTGACAAGGTCAATATGTATCTCTCTTGAGACAAAACAATAATGGCAAAGGAAGTATGCTAACTTATTTTACAGTCAAGAGCATCTATTCTTTTACATTATAAAAAAAGAAAGAAATCTCAAATTCTTTTCTTTTGTATATGTGAATAGTATCCAGGCATACATACACGCACACGCACACGCACATCAGAAGCCTATCATACGAACGAATAATTTTTCAGGGTAGTTTGAAAAATGTCAAGTGAAAAAATCAGATGGTTCATGCATAAGATATAAGTTTTATCAATAAAAATTCACAAACTATTCAGATGATACCCAGAATACTTTGTCGATACTAGCAATCAATCGATAAGAACTAGCCCACTTCAAATGAATGTTAAGTGACTATAATTAGACTTAAGCCAGAATATAAAAGAATGCACATACCTTCTTTAGTTTTATCCTAATGGATTTGTTTGTTTTACACCCGGTTCTTATTAATGTATTAAAATGGAAAAAATAATTAATGTTCTATAGATAAATTTATTCATATCTTGAATTGTTCACATAAATTCACAGAAGATTTATAAAAACAAAAATCCTGTTAATCTAAAAAAAAAGAATTTCAAAACAAGTCAGTTGTATATTTTATTAGAACAAATAGCCTAAAATAATAATAGAACGATATAGAAAAAACATGACAAAGAAAAAAAGTTTTGATTTGTGTACTTAAATAGAAAATGTAACATATTCTTCTATGATGGCCATTACTCTTCTCGTTACTGTGAACACCAAAAGAGGCAGTACGGTTTTCATTTTCTTTCCTACAATAGCGTGCCATCTCTTTCATAAATAATAGGCGACGACTAGCGCCATCGTTATATCGAGTTTATATATAATACAGAAAGTGTATAGTATAAATATTTTTTTAAAGATCTTTTTCTTTCTTCTATGTACTCTTTGTTATTGAATTTCATCAATACTGATGTATTTTAAAACAAATATTTATTATAACAGTGAAGTAATAAAGACTCTTGAAAAAAAAGAAACTTCATCACAAATAAAAAGAAAATCAAACTATTACTGAAAAACTAGAACAAAAGAGAAAGTTTAATTACTATGGATAGTTAACTTTTCATATTACTAGTCTTTATATATGCTAATCTCAACTAAACTAGTTGTATAATTTGTCTAGGTTTGAATTGAAATTAGCAGTGTTCATATAAAATTATGATAAAAATCCGGTTTTAATCTTCAAAAAGACTCAATAAAGTAAATGTTCGAGTTCAATGTCATCTACTATACGCATAAAAGAAATTATAAATTTCATTAAGATTGCATGCTGTATTCATCAGAATATTATTGCTATTTAAACCCTATATGTATTATTGAAGATGATCTGATGAAAGTCATTAATAAAACACAAGTCAACACGAAGTAAATATTTACAATGCATCGATATTTTTAATAGCATGTAATATTTTCTTGTCTTTTTCCTCTGGCTGAATATTTCCATTAGGTCTAACTCCCAATAACACATCTGTATCATTGTGAGTGATTGAATATCTGCATCGGTTGCTAGTTTCATTAATCTTCTGTGAATGTTATTATTCATTTTAATTACAACGCTTTCTGCTCATCTTCTATCAATCTGCGATAATTTTTTAAACGAAACTTACAGTTATCAATCATTTGACCTAATATTTCAGTTACTATGCTTCAAAGACCGAGAACGATGGCGTATTGTACTGAAGGAATAAAGAATATACAGTCATTAATTTTGTTTTTGTTCTTTGCATTGATTGTTTATTTTTCTATTCAATTTCAGTTGCTATTTGAACTCATATTATTATTCTATAGAATAAATAGAACTAAATTCACAATTCTAAAGTTCATGTAGACACATTTGATAGATTGCTCTGTAAGATATTTTAATCTCTTAACAATGAATGTATTCTTTTAAAAAAATCAGTTGGAAACTTTGTAAACGTTAGATCTGCTTTGTAATTTCAAATTAGAAAACATTGTTCATGTAAACAAACAAACTATTTACTGAACTACTTATCTACATTGTTTATTTGCCGATATAATTATATATGCGGCTGACAAAAATACATTTTTGATATTAAATATCAAGAAGAAAATTTTATGATATTGAATTTATTCAGTAGCTAGTTTCACCTAAACACACTATCCAATCCGTGCACATAAATATGGATGCCATCGGCAATCAAAGAACCTCCGACGATGGTATCATATATCTATTACTTGTTGTCTTGTTTAATATTATCTGTTGGCATAAATCAATCCTGTTGCTACTAGTTTGACTAAAATTCTTCTCATGATTAACATGAAATCTTTTCAAGCATCAATATGAGATATTATTTATATATAACTCTTTGCAATGGTCGAACATTTTCAAATTTACACAATAAATTAGTTTTATAGTTACTTTTATCAGTATATTTAATAGCACAAACTCAGAAGCAACTAATTATTTTCTTTTTATTAAACAAAAAAACTGCTAAAATATTTTATTTGATATTAGACATGTAGAGCCGGTAATTTGAGAAACGCCGTACTCCTTCCCATAGGAGAAAATGTTGCTATATGACAACATCCGACCGTAAATTGCTAATTAAAAACTATAGATAAAGCAACCAAAGTCATGAATTAATAAAATTCTGTGATGATGCTCTCATGTTGTTGGTGTTGTTGTTGATAAAAGAATAATCTTAATAATAAATTTAATAAATGTCATTCGTCGCGATGAGCTGAACTTTTTAATATACGTGAACGAAGTTCCTGTATATTTTCACTAGAAACTTCAGCTTTCTATTGATTTTATTATGTTGTTAAATACAAACTGACGATTTTACACAAGCGTTCTACTGATTCTAGCGACTTCTAAATCAATAATTAAATTCTAAACTGAGTATTATTGAAAACATTATAATATTAAACAAAAAGAGAACACATTACAAACTTTCGTAAATCAAATGCACAAAACATTTTGCAATAGGGATTTGTTTATGTAGTTTTATGAATTGATTATCCAATGATCTATTGGGAAAAATACTAATTGATTTCATTTTTTTCATATCCTGTCATTTGTAGATACCGAATTCTTGTCCATCTCGTGAATACAAATGTCACCAAGGCTAAGTAGTTCAATTATTATACATGTGGAAGTAGGTTATTGTTATTATTATTATTATTTGAAGAATGGTTGCTCCAATGCGATTAATATTATGAAAATAAAGTGAACAAATATATAGCTTTGTCGTCATTGACAAACAGATGTCGTGCATTGAATCTTGATTACACACTTGGATTTGTGATTATAGACAAAAATAAAATTTAGAAACATGAATTTTATATCCCCATTTTTATTTTTCCAATTTTTCTGTTCCTTTTTTTTCTTAATGTTAATACAATAGGACTGCATATGAAAACATGAAGATGTGCTATTATTATGTATTTCAACTGAAATGTTAATGCAATTCGATTATTGCTTATCGTTGTTCGTTTTGAGGGGTATCTTCGCTTGGTAAGCTTCGTCGACCTAAAAGTACAGCTTCAGCTGGTAAGCGACGTTTGCCAAGAAGAATAGATTCAGCAGGAAGTCGACGTTTACCGAGAAGAACAGGTTCGGCCGGAAGGCGACGTTTACCAAGCAGAATAGATTCAGCTGGAAGACGGCGTTTTCCGAGCAAAATAGATTCAGCTGGAAGGCGGCGCTTTCCGAGCAGAATAGATTCGGCAGGAAGACGAACACCCTTTGATGCATATGGACGTTTTCCCAACATCATACCGTGATATTCGTCACGAAAGTGATTATCGTGTTCTAAGCCTCGTTTTTCAAATGATGAACTGCTATCATCTTGGTCATTATCCAATACTTTCGCTGATGTAGAATCGTTACTATCATCTTGATTGTGTACCGTTGTAGCATTTATTGAATTAATCCAAATGAGAAAACCTTGAGAAAAGGAGAAATTGATTACCAAATGTGTTTTTATTTATTCTGAACTATGTAGAAGAAGAAGAAGAAGAAGAAGAAGAAGAAAAACTTCTAAAGAATATTTATTCTTAATCGAAATGTCTCTGTAATCTGAGCATTTAACATCACCGTAGTTTTATTTTGTTTCATATGTATAATTATCGGTTTGTTAGTGTCTAAGTAGTTATAGCTTTTAGCGTAGAAAATTTATTGAAAACTTACCCATCGTGAAGAGAGCCGTGTAAATTATTGAACTGGAAACCATTATGAGTGTATTAGAGACAAAAACAAAAGTGACTGAAGAACGTCGTACAAATAGTGTCGTAGAGAATGGAGTTCAAATCTAGAATACACGCACAGATACACGTATATATATTTATCGATCTATCTATCTATCTATATATATATATATAGCTTCATGCCTCATGAGGATTAGCAGAGAGCCATTGTGTATCTGTTTTTTCTTGTTCAATTTTCTTTTCTTTGACTCATTACTTCATGATGGCAGAATACAAGAAACAAGGAGCCAAATGTCAAATAGTAAAGATGAACAATAAAAAATCACATAGATGATTATGATACTGATGCTGAGTGATTTAAATTTTTTGCTGTTGATCAAATCATTTAAATGAATGACAAAAAATTCGAAAAATAGAAAATCTATTACCAAGTAAAAGGAAAATATAAGTTAAACGCAGTTGATAGAAAATAAAAACTATATGGATACGGATATGTACTCAACCAATATCGATACTTTTTTGTTCTGCAGAGTCTATAATAATGCGGGAAATAATGACGCAGCGTGTTAAATAAACACATCAACTGGCTTTTTATACTACTCTGTTTCTCTGCGCTTCTTTTTGATAGAACTTCTATCCCTCTCTTGTCTTCCTTTTGTGTAAAAATCGTGCGAAAAAAAAGGAAAATTTTCTCTCTCCATGTCTTATATCAAAATAATTGTATAAAGTAATATATCTATGATTTTCGACTGAAAGCAGTAAATTTATGTAGGAGAAAAACGATGTTTTCGAGCGTTATTTCTTGTTTTAATCAGTATGAACTTTAGTTAAATGCATTTGCATATAAATAAACATAAATTTCGTTTTTGAATAGTAAAATCAAATTAATGAGCACTAACATTGTAGAATAAATGCAGTTTGTTATGGTCTTCTGGGTATATGACAATCAAGTTGGCGTGCGCCAATTAGAAGCACTATTTTTCTTTTCATTTTGTTTTTTATCATGTCATTATTGAGCTAAGCTAAATGGTTCTCTTGAGTATGAATACTTGATGTTTTCGTTAACAAAATGATTGTGATGACCGTGCACATCACGATTGTTGTTGTAAATGTATAAAAAAATTTAAGAAATGTTGTATACGTATATGCAGAGAAAGATAATTCAAAAATTATTAGTAAATTTTATACTTGTGATCTATGATAAATGCTATAAAATAGATTTTTATTTTCATGAATCCACCGGAAAAAAATCTTATACAAAATAAGCATAAATAAATTGTTTGCACAGATGACAATTTACTTTTCGTCTTCTGATTACACAAATTCTGGATGAGAAGTTTTATCTGCAGACGTTTTAGTTTTGAAATAGAGAATCCATTGAAATCCTATTAAAAATACTTTTAGAAACATAGAAAACTCTATTGAGAAAAAGACCTTGAAAACCCACGAAAATTTTTTTAATAGGAATATAACTCCCTGAAGTGAACACCTCCTTTACCTGACTTGTAGATTGTTTTTTATAGTCACGATTGATATTGTAATTCATTTTGAACAAAGTCACGTAACATTCGTTTTTTCTCTTTGTTCTGTCTATTCTAGGCATTTAAAATAATGTCTACTGTTTTTAATGATAGATCATATCAGAAAAATGAATGACGACCGACTAATTCAAAAGTTCATTGAATTCGATTTTCAATATTTAAACATTCAAAAACACAAATAGAAATAAATTTCAATTTTTGATACAAGTTTATGATTCTTATAGCAATGCCGATTAAATTCATGTTCATTTAAACTGAAATATTACTGCAAAAATTCATAAAAACTAAGTTGGGTAATTCTGAAACTACAAACAAACTTATCTTCTGGGGGTTGTTTGTTTTTCGTTTCATCGTAAAATGCAGAATACATCTCATAAGTGAACACCTCACAATATTGAACACTTTTCCAGAATCTCAATAGACCTTATTGAAGAGAGGCTTTACTTTATTTTGAAAACTACCAATATGATAAGCCCATTCAATAGTAAATATCACGTCTGCAAAAATGTTTAATTAATTAATTATGAACAAGGCTGCTTTTGTAAACACCTGGGAAAGAAATATCCTTAGTGATTTCGTATTGTTGATTCGAAAACTGCTCTAAAAGTACTATTTAAACTATGAGAGCGACATTTTCCCCGATGACTATTTTTCTCATATTTTATTTACCATAGTTTTAATCCATTTTTTCTTTATATAGCGGTTTCTTTTTTTTTGTAATATTGTCAGTTATACTTTCACGACATGGAAATTAATCTATATCATACACATGAGCATTAGCTCTTAGAATCATGAAAAATTTTCTTTAATAGATACGATTTTCTATAACCTTCAAGTAGCGCCCAATTGATTGTAAGAATTGTTAAACAACAGAAAAGAATTGTAATGTTTTTCTACATAATTTCATCGAGAAGCAATAGCAAAATCAGTCGTTCAATTCATTATTGTAGACGAATTAGATTAGCAATTCTCAAGATAATGCTCATGCAAATGCAGCACTACTTTCAACAGTTGAAAAGTACGTTGTACTTATTTTTAATATGCTGTCATCTATACTTGATATGCTTAAATATTCAATATCCGTTACTCGAATGATAACAAAAATTGATAATACTCACAGAAGCGTAACTTGATTTCCAAGATTGCGGGAGGGACACGTAACGTTTTCGTCTGCATAGATTAGGTACTAAGATACCCATAAAAACAAAATTTTCAAAAGCAGCGAGGCAACGTCACAAGTGTCCCGCTCTATTGATACCCCTTAATATTCATTCGAGAAGAAGTCTCTTAATTTAACACTCTGTTTGTCGATATATAATCCTCAAGATAGTATTCGGCCAAATTGTTATGTAAAAATGTTCATGGGCTCGAAAAACCTAAATCATTTATGACAATTTAGTTAGTCATTTCTCTTTTACTGGTTGACAATTTTTGTTCTCCTTTTATTTTTGTCTAAATTAGCACTCAAGTCAGACAAATCTTCTGGGACAAAAGCCGGAACTAAAATTCAGTGAAGTATAAAGTTTGCAAAGCAAAAAACATTGACAAAGCACGTCACTTTTGTTTACATTAAACTTAACATGCAATCATATTTTTGCAGTACCCAGAATAACTACTCATTGTTTACAGTCTCGTTCGATTTATAAAAATGGATTGACTAGTATGAAAATAAAAATCACATGCTACATATGTAATTATAATTCATTGAATTGGTTCGAATCGATTTTTTTTAAGGTATGAAAACAAAACACGTTTAGATATATATATATACAAATACAATGACAGCGATAAACACAAAACGAAAACAGAAAAGAAAAAGCAAACTAGCAATAATACTTTCAACTTTTTTCATTTAATTTAATCCTTTTTGACAACTCATCATCGGAAGAATCGAAAGTTCGTTTCAACTTGAATGTATTGTCTTCTTGCAGACAAATATCTTCAAGTAGATCATGAAGACATTGCTGAATAATTTTTTCACTATCTGTACTTGATAACGGTTTAATTTTTTTATTTGTTTTTTTACTCTTTTTTTCTCCTTTTCGACGACGTTTTTCTTCTCGACGCATGTTACGTTCTTCTTGTTCGACTTCAATTTGTAATAATAATAGTTCGTCTTCTTCATTCAAATCAAGTAATTTCGATAAATCATTCATATCAGTTATATCATCACTGTTCATGTCAGGTTTTTCATCATGATTATTGTCAAGTGATGGTGTCATTTCACGTGATGAATGCTAGAAATAAGAATCAAACATATAATTATTCATTTATTCATTGTTTTCTCTTACTCTTGATATTCGATCATCATTATTTGATCGAGACGACGATCGTGACCATTGTGCACTACCAGTCGAACTTAACGATTGTGAACGTCGCCGATCTTGTCGCCGTCGTTTTAAATTTCTTTCATCAACCATTGGTGATGGACTACGATCACCGGATTGTTTACTTCTCTTAAGTAGATGACCTAATGATCCTTTCTTTGGTGGTCCTGCTGGAATTTTATGGTGTAATCTTGGTGGTAAACCATAATGACGTTGTTGATTTAATGATAACTCAGCTGATGATAATGGACGATCACCATCAGGCAAAACGAAATCATCAATATTAAGTAAATCATCAATTTCTTGACGTATTTCATTTTGCTGTTGTTGTCGATTAGCAGCTCGTCGAGCAGCTAAATGTGCCTGTTGACTATGCGTCAAACCGGTTATAGGTTTAAATTCAAATTTCGGTTGAGATGAACGAATAGGTTGTAGAAGTTTGCCAGTTTGATCAGGAAATGGGAAAAATTCATCGTCTTGTTCGTTACGACGGAGATTAGCTAGTTTTTTAATTCTTTTAAAACCCTCATAGTAATCATTGACATCTTCATCGCCACCAACAACTGCAGGTGTAAAGAGATTAGTATGAACTGCTGATGTTTGATTATTTTCAGTAACAACTTGCATCGGTACTGGACGAAATTTACTATTGGTTACAGGTCTAAATAAATGTTGAATCATTTTAGAAATTTCAACATATGTAAACAACATTGATATTAAAGATGGTCTCTGCAAGTTTATATCGATTCGATTTCTTTTAAGTCTAGTTATACTCAAGAAGTTGAAACGAACAATTATTTTAAATAGAATCAACTTATAGACATGAATAACAAAATTAAACTCTTACAGATCATATATGCCAGTGACTGAGATGCTTATTCAAAATGATTCTTCTCGCCTTTGAATTATGTTCAATAAATCAATTGGGTATAATACAAAATTTCATGCTCATCAAAGAACCAAATGAATAAATCGAAAGTTTTTCAATTCAAGTTTTAATTTCATATTCTATTTCATCTAGAATATTTACAAGCCTACACTTTCTTACTATATAAAACTTTAATTTCATTGCTGTACAACTGCTGATATTGAAGATATCACGAGAAAAAAACCATGCTTCTGTTATGCACACCAATCTTTTAGATCGGTAAACTGTAGGAAAATGACATACTTAGACTGATATTATTGTACAATCTGTTTCTCTGCACTGCTATAAGAATACTTGCAATTATTTATACAAACAGAAAGAAATATGACGAATACCAAGTCAGATTAAATGTTACTTACGAGGAAATATTCCTAAGTGATTCGTACCGTTTGGTCTCATATTTTGCTCATAGGTAGAATTCAATGAGACTAGGATAATACTATAAGATTCTGTGCCCTCAGGCCTTTCCTTCGAAGTTATGATCGTTTTATTGAACTTTTGACCTTGGTCAAGGGATTTATCGAAAAATTAAATGAAGGAATTCTGAGCTGAAATTTTATCTAACAATAGGTCTCATTGGTGTTAGAAAATTGTAAAACTTTCAGTTAAAACTGATGCTTTCTTTTAGAGATATTGGAGATTGAAGAAAACGGTCATGGCCCAAAAATTATCGTAAAATTAACTTTTCTTTAATCTGCAATATCTCTAACAGAAAGCATCAGTTTTACAATTTTCTAACACCAATGAGACCTATTGTTAGACAAAATTTCAGCTCAGAATTCCTTCATTTAATTTTTCGATAAATCCCTTGACCAAGGTCAAAAGTTCAATAAAACGATCATAACTTCGAAGGAAAGGCCTGAGGGCACAGAATCTTTTAGACTTTTTCTAGTCTCATTGGATTCTACCTATGAGCAAAATAAGAGACCAATAACTATGTCAGCTAGTTGAATTTAAACAAAAAAATTTAATTAGAACTCTCACTTACTTTTTATTATTATCTGCCGAAGGTGCTGTTGCTGTTGCTGATGTATTCGGAGTTGTTGCATTATTATTTGTTGGATCTAACGATGATTTCAAATGTGGATATACTAGAAAGAGAAAAAATGCACATTTTGATTCACCAAGGCGAAAGCTTTGGGTTTTGTAAGAAAAAATAGTTTTTTGTTTTTCTGAAAACATGGCTTGCTCAGCAAAATTATCTGAATAGATAATTGTCATCAAAAGAAATCATCAGATTAACGTGAAGAAAAATATAACATCATCGCAAGGAGCATTATTTTTCCCGTTGAAACAAAAATAATAAATAAAAGTTGATACATACATGTGAAAAAATCTTGATCATCTTCGTCTGTACTGTCCTCCGTACCACTCGATGATGTCATTGGTTGAGCTAAAATTTTAAATAAACAATTTTTTAACATGGAAAACTAGTTTTTTTTCTCTCATACCTAATAATATTGCTCGGATACGTTTTTTTGATAAAATATCGAGTTGATCGAGACATTTTGCTTTAATTTCGTCAAAAGAACGTGTCTAGAAAAATATTGAAAAAAAAAGAAATGATTAAATTCTTTTCTCACAAATTTACATACAAGCAAATAGTTAAAAGAAAAATGATTTTCATGAAAAAATGCTTTACTTACGATAAATGACACAAAAATTAGATTATTAAAAAAGAAGAAAAAATATTTATTTCCCAATTATATATATATATATATATATATATGTATATGTATACATTTATCTGAAGGATAGGGGACGATGATATGAATATATGTATATATATATATCTATAAAAAAACTCTCTAAAAAAGAAGCTTTCGTCGATAATAGTTTCGATGCTGTTTGAATGTCTGATAGATCATATAAATTAATCTAAAACAAGGATCGATTATCAAACGAACTTGTTTATGTGAATTGAAATTAGACCAAAAAATATTCGTAAAAAATAAAAAAAAATTCCTTCGATTTTTCCTTGTCATCATTTGTGTGATTATTATCTTTTTATAATAATAATAATAATAATCGTAGACTTTTATCAATGTTACCTTCAGTGCATCTGGTAAAATAGCCTGAAGTTTGTGACCACGAACACATCGAAACATTTCATGAAGCATACGTTCACGTTCTTTGATATAATAACTGATTGTTTTAAGATCTTCATTTAAATTCAACATGCTTCCATCACTATCGTTACCATCTGAGCGATGTTGTTCACTATCACTTGAACCGATTATTTGACCAGCAGCATTCACCTATGTAAAGAAGTCAGTTAAAAAATAAATTCTAACAAACATATTTGTTTAAATACTTTTCTAGTGTTTTTTTTAGTTGTTTTCTTAAGTCTACGTTGCTTTTGAGAATTTGTACTAGCATCACTACCAGCATCTTTATCTTTTGAACGATCACTACTTGAGCCAGACGACCGATGACGACGTTGATTAGTATCTGAATCTCCACTAGATTCATCTGATCGTTTAATACCTTGCGATTCATAATCATCATGCAAACCAATGGTTTTCATTTGCTAGAAAAATCATTAAAACGTTTGATTATTAAAATAAACATCCAGAGATGTATTCATCGAGATTGTTCAAAGAAAAAGTTGTCGCTATTGGTTCATTCCCTTTCTCTCTTCGAAGAACTATCTTTACTACTTAATTCAATCCGAACATGAAGATGTAAAATTTTCTCTATTTCATGACATAGAAAAATTCCGCTCTCAACTAATTCTCAAACTCAGAAGACTTTTCATTTAACTTACCAATCGTCTAGCAAGACCATGAATTTTCTTTTCGACTTCTTCAGGGTTCGTTTGTGGAGTAACACCACCGGCAGAAGCTTGTATTTGTTGAAATCGAGCATAATTTTTAAATTTTTGTACTTTTTTTTCTTGCTGCTTTTTCGTTCGTTCCCGTTTACTATTCACAGCAGCTGCAGCAGTAACTATTGTATTAGCAAGAGCTTCTGAGTTTTCACCATGCATAATACCGGCTAGAAGTGAACTAAAGTCATTAGAATCGGTTAGAAGATCATGCGAAGGTGCCATTGCTTTTGCATGTGGCACATTTGCTGTTGCTTGTGGACGGTTTCGATTATTTTTTGTGGATGATCGTTTTTGTTCACCGGATGTTTTCTGTTGTGGTGATGATTTTGACTTTGAACTCGTCGGTTTTTCGTCTCCACCATTATCATCGTCGCGACGTTTTCGGCGATCAGTATCAGAAGAAGAATCCGACGATGAACTTGAATCGTGTCGTTGTTTCGAACGTTTTTCTGCGGCTGCCGCTTTCTTTTTCTCGGCTTCTTCTTCTTCTTCGTCGGATGCTGTGAAAATATTTCTTCCAAGTAAACGAAAATTAAAACGCATTTCACGCGGTATATGTTGCACAGGAAATGATGCTTGATATAAATTACTGACTTTTTGTCCTGAACTTATTTTCTTATAATTATCTTGAAATTGTTGATAAAAACGATTGTTTGGATTATTTGGATTGGCAAATTTTTGTGCACCTGGTTTTTGTTTTAGTTGCTGCTGCTGTTGTTGTATTAAATTAAGCATGCTAGCCATATTATGAATGTAAGCTGGATTATTCATTGGACCACCGCGACCACGGAAATTACCAGGTGGTGGCCGATACCCGCCAAGTAAAGATTGTGGTGGACTATTACCACCTGATCGACGATGCCCATTGTTATGGCGCATCGGTGGTCCACCCATCATCGGTGGTGGCATATAAGGAAGCATTCGACCATCTCGTGTATGTAGAGCATTGGGCGGAGCATAATGACGTGGCATATTCGGAGGAAAATTTGTATGACCCATCGGAGAATAAACATTTTGCATGTTTGAACCCGAACGACGTATAGAATTTTTTTGACGATATCGAGATGGTGATTCACGAGACGATGATCTAAATTTTGATATAAACGATGTATTTTACCGAGTTACGACATGAGAAACAAAAATAAAACGTTGATATTTGTTTATATACGAGAAGTTCTATGTATGAGAAAAGATTGTATTCAACCGTTTCGATTTGTGCAATGATCAGTAGAGATGATGAAATCATTGTTTTAAATTCTTTCGAATTTCATATGTCCCTATCTCTTGGAACTTCATCATATCATTGCATGCTGTAACATAGAATCGAACCACTAACTATAACAATATCAACTTTAACCGCTGAGCTAGATTAACATATTCAGCAAATAGAAATTTACTCGTCTCAATTTTAATTGCGATTTAAAAGGAATTTTTTAAAAAGCAAGAAAAAATGCCAACAACCATTCAATGAAATATCGAAAGAACTAACCTGTCACTGGATCTATCACTACGTGATCTTGATTTTGATCGACTTCGTGTTGCATTATTTCTTTTTGGTGGTGATTCAGATGAATCATGTTTTGAACGATGTGGTTTTTTTTTATTATTTGTAGGTTTTTTATCATGATTACGTGTTTCTATTGTTGAAGATAATTTGTTTTTTTCTTTCGGATTTTTTGCTTTAATAGGTTTTTTTGATGATGACGATGTTGTATTACGTTCATATTCGTTGGATGATCGGGATGATGATGATTCTGAACGTTGTTGTTTATTATGTTTCGATTTATGATGACTAGTTTTAGACTTTTTCTTTTTTATATTTTTCGCTGATGACGATGACGAAACAAGTGCTACTTTAGACGACGGTTGTTGTATAGCTGTTTTGCTATCTGTACCCATGAGAGAAAGAGAAACAAATTTATTTAATCGAGAAAAGCAAATCAAAATCTAAAACATAAAGACGAAGCAATAAATTTCAAGGAAAAATATTGGTTAACAAAGAATACAGTCGAGTGTAGAATGACGGACATATTAAAACGCAATATGTTCATTGCCTCAACGATGGTTTTACATAGAATAATAACCAATTGAATATTGGTACTCTAGAGGTCGTCAAAGCTTGAATTAGGATGAGTCAACAAAAAAATTGAATAAGAAAAATTTAGAATATATAAATATACGAGTAAAATGCTTGCTCGATGTTCAATCATTACAAAACGTGCTTTTTCAAAAGATTTTCTAGCAACAAGATGGAAAAGAGCAGATCCAAATAGATATTGGCGTGTTCAGTAAGTTTTTATGCCAAAATTTAATAATTATTTTATTATTACTGTTGTTGTAGACATAAGCTACCTACAGATGATGAAGAACATGGTCCATTAGCAGATTTACCTGATTATTCTTATCTGAGTAAGTATATATTCGAAACTCCTACAGACAAGGATTTCTATTAATCGAAGATTCAACATCAATTTGTTACAAAATAGACATCATAGAATTGGATATATTTTGTAAAATCGGTTAAATAACCTACCCATCTAAGTTTACATATGTATCTGAATAGATTCTATTGTTATCGAAGTCTGCGATTAAGTTATTGTGATTATACGTAAATACTTGTAGAAATCAATGTTAGATAGTTAGAAATTAGATATTGACCTAAAAGATTTTATTTCTATCATTTGATCTTCGAAATAAACTAACCATTTATACACAAGAATGAATTGGTTTCAGTTAGTTGTTTTCTCTCTATAACAATGTATTGAGTTGAGTTCTATTACTATTACTTCATCTATTGATATTTTTGATAGAAATTTGTTTGTCTTGTTCTATTTATTAGATAGTGAACCATCGCATTTATCTGCAGTACAACGTAAAAAATATGATTTCAATGCATCGGTTGTCCATCGCATTCATGAGCTCGATAGTGAATTAAAGAGTGCAAAAAAATTGTATGCAAAGAAAATCGAATCAACTATGGCTGAGTACAATAAAACTGTTCAAATAGCTCAACACATTAAAACGCCATCTTCATCAACAAAATCAACAATTGAATCGTTAGGTAGGAAACCAACACCGTCCATTACTTATCCTAATGAGTATTCATTGCAACCAAATTTACTCAATGCTCTTCGTAAAACAACAACATACAATGAAGCTTATGAAGAAGTTGTTGACCCTGTTGGTGCTATTATACCCGATAAACTGATGAATACCGAACGTCCACCTTACAAACATACTGGTGAACGACGGCGTTATCATAAAATATTTACACTTCGTACACCAAAACTTCGTATGTTTCCTCGATAAATAACACATTTAAATAAAAATAGATAAAAAGATATCTTCTCTTTTGTTTTAATATTTCTCTATTGATTCTTCTAGTTCATAAGTTCAATCGAATAGTGAAAAATAGCAAGATTGATTCTGTATAATATTGAAAAATTTAATGAAACCATTAAAATGAAGTTTTCTTGCTACTGATTAAATCATTTAAGTCAATTGATCTTATGCTAGAGAAATTACCACGAAGCTACTCCTCAATTCTCTGAAAATTTCCCTCATCTACCACTGCGAATGGATCATGTGTATTGATTATAAACAATAGTTACACTATTAGTGACGCAAGAAGTTCGCCTATCGAATTTTGTTCTACAATTTTGTTTACTTTATTGGTGATGTATGCGATGCATACATGAAGGATTTGGCTACTTATTGTAATAACTTAAAGCGATTAATCTAAGTCTTTTTTTTTTCGGAGATCTAAAACAACCTTAGTTTTGGTTAATTTTACTAGATGAATGCATCCTGATATGAGATTTTTAAAATATGAATTTTTGAAATTATTTTTTACTACTGTGAAATATCGAATAAATTAATGACATACAAAACTGTAATCCAAAAAACAAAAAAAATCAGTTCGCGCTGCCATTTTATGTATTTTAACCACAGCATATTGGTACTGCGATTTTGACCTGTTTCTGAAAGCAGAATAAAGGGTCTGATTTTTGCGGTTTTATTTAAATTTTTTCCGTTGGAGTAACACTATCATTGTAGGAATAGATTTGAAGTTGATTATATTTTCATAAATTTGATTGTCAACGATTCACTTGACACGATCTCTAGATACAAACTTTTATAATATTGGCAATCTAATATGTAATAAGAAGATATAGGACAGGCTCCGAGCTAAGTAGTCTACAAGTTTTCGTATGTAGAGTACTGTCCGATACGTGCTAAAGTAGGAATAATTTTAACGCATTCGTTGTTGCACTGAGAAGTTACATCTATTTTTAAACATGAAACGCTATGTCAGTTGAAATTACTATCAAAATTTTGTAGGTTAAACTTAACTTTAAAAAACGTAGCTTTCAATATTTTCTGTTGTTTCTCGCTACATTTAAAATACATTTTATTTTGCAGTTTTAATAGATGAATATCAAACTAAATCAATGGTTGAATAGAGGTAGAGAGTTGAAGAGCATAGTTAGTTAACTGAGTAGTCGTTGATCGCTTGAACTTTGCATTGTAGAAAGTTTTCTCACTATATAACAATTTCAAAAATTTTATGCAACAACGTATGATGTATCGAAAAATTTTTGAGAAAAACATTTGGAACTTGGCTTGTGTTGCTAGCAAACCATGAACAAAGATATGGCCAATCATCGATGAGCACATTTACTCGTTGATATTAGATTGTTCGTTTTCTACTGTAAAATTGTAATTAAAGAGAAGAAATGAGATAGAAAGTCAAGGTGGTAAACAATTGAAGTATATTCAGATACATTACAAGAAGAATTTGTTTGATTTATTTAAATATTCTATTTCACTGTTTTCAAATAAATCGGTTCGGTATGTTTTTCACTATCATTCTAATGTAATCAAGCACTAGCTACAAAAAATAATTGTCTTATGTATATACGTATGTAAGTATATCACTGGTACGAAGAATATTGAATAACTTGAAGATAGATTGGTTAATGAACGATGATGCGTTATACGACTGGGTCATCTTCCACATTTAGTTTACGTGTTGTGTCTGCAATAATCGTATCCAACATATCGCCATGTTCTTGAATATTTGCAGCTTCCATCGTATGAACACAAAGCTGAAGAGCAGTAAAGAGAAGAGCAGCAAAACGTAACGATGCTTCGATATAACCATAGCGATACACCATATATATGAACAGCATATCAATATATTTATTTTGAATATGAAACATATTAATTGTATTAAAGTGAAGACGATTCGTTGATTTAGAAAGTTGAACTAAAGATTGGTTTCAACATACAAATTAACACTCAACTAATTAAGTGAAGTAAATATTTTATGACTAGTTTTCTGTTGATTCTTTAGTAATATGTCGATATTTAGAACACTACTATTGGTGGTAGGTAGAGCCCGTCGGGTCCGGGTTTGGTTCCTGGTCTAGAGTTTATTTTTGACACGGTTCGGCTTCAGATGAAATAGTTTTTACTCATTGTGTCAGATTACAAGAAAATTTTTGTGCATATAATCGAGTGAAAAGGAAAAGATATTGTTAATGGTCAAGTTATCTAACAAAAGAAACAATATAAACACTTTAATCCATTCATTCCTTATTCCATCCGACGTTGCACTACTAGCGAGTCGCTAAGAATCAGAGACCGTCATAAATTAATTGTTTAAAAATCTTTATCGGATAGTTGAAAGAACATGTAAAATGTACTAATTGCCTAGCGCAAAAGGAAAGACGTATGTTTTATCTTCGGAGTGATCACCCGATTCGATTAGAAAAGTTTGTTAGCGTAGTCCGTTCAGAGCTAAAATGTGGAACTCGCATATTATTTTTCGTCTAATTCTACTAATACACAATGCGTAAATAGAATGTACTACAAGACAATCGATCGATAGAAAAAATATCTTATTTAGTTGTTGAATGCGGTTCTATGGAATTTCGACAAAAAGAATTTCGCCATCTGAATTTGGACAAAATTGTCGAATTTCGGCAATTGTAGAAATTCGACAACCTTGTCCAAATTCAGATGGCGAAATTCTTTTTGTTGAAATTCGATTTTGCCTTGCATGCGTGCTAATGTTTGAAATGCATCGTGGTTACCTATAATGGCGGGTGGGGTCTGTAATGGGGAGGTTGAGAGTGGGGAGCCGTAAAAATCTCGCTTTTAAACTTACACTCACCATTTTCTTCGAAAATGTATATGAGCTCGACAAAATTTGATTACAAGTTTAAGAGCACCTTTCATTCCAGATCTATTTTTTAACAAAAGAAAGATTTATTACAATTTATTTTCTGAAAAATATACTTTACATTTTGACTTTTTAGACAGTTAAAGTTTAAGGTATGCTTGTTTTAGCTTTAAATTTAAATTCAAAGATTAAAGTTGAGGTACTCTACTTTAAATTGAATAATTTCATCAGAGTAATTTCAAAGTTATAGTATCACCCCTAGTATGTGCCCAAACGTTTTTGATGTACCGGGTCCGGATCTGAAAATTCTTGGACCCGATGCGCTCGAGTGGTAGGTATAAAAGGATTTTATATCATGCACATTAAATCTAGATGAATTTTTAGAAGAGGAAATACTAATGTATACCATCATCACTCATGAGATTCAAATTGATCTTGTTCAAAATATAAACCTCTCAAATTCGATGACAGACTTTGGGAATTTCTTAGGATCAATTGTAGTTTCATTTACTTACTATTATTGGTCATATTCGATGGGCGAACAACATCGAAACATGTTGAAAACGCCAAAACAACGACAAACAATTTTACTGCTACTCTATCCATATCTAATCGATTGAGAAGTTTTGATACACCTTCAAAGTTATCAGATCCATACGTGTTCAAATTAGCGCGACAAAATGCATAATTACTATAGAGATCACCATCACGTAAGATTAATAGACCACTCGTACTACCAACATTATGAAGATTACGTTCGATTAACAAGTTTCTATCATGAATGGACATCATAGTAAAATCCGGTATACGCTCAAGAAATGAATATATCGATCGATAGATTAAACCCAGCATATCTGCCAAAGTAGCTCCATCGATTCTCAAACGTTTCTTTGGTGGAAAACTTGATTGACTAAGTGAATTCAAAATCTTTGGTAAAGGCGAGATTTGATCATATACATGAGTGACATTCGATAGAATTGACCATTGATCGAATGATAATTTGGAACGATTACTATTAAGCAAGTCTAGTCGACGAATAAGAGGTGGAGTAATCTAGCATAATAAAAAAATTCTACGTAGATTGATTTTTAACAAAAGATGTCTTTTGAAATAACCTGTTTTCCTATTCGTTTCTTTTGATTTAGTCGTGGAGGACGTGTTAATTCTTTTTTCATACCAACTGTTAAACATTTCTTGAATCGACAATACCGACAAGCATGCCGACTGTTTTCATGCATTTCACAATTTCCATCATAAATACATTTGTTAATAACCTAAATCAATGAAACTCATGTTTGTACAAATAAAACAAAAACAAATATAATTCAAACATACCAGATCAAAGTCTAGATTTCGACGAAAAAACATTTTACATGGAGCACAAGAAACGGAACCAAAACAATTACGTGCATTTCGATCACCACATACTTGACATAAGAGAGACGATCTTCGATGTTCATACGTATTACGAGTAGCTTTACATAAAAATAGATTACTATTATTATTCATATAAATTTTAATAATTGATCTAGAAGATTGAGAAGATATTTTCAAGTATAGAACATAACACAGCTACAGACTTATTCCCATATATGTATGGTACTTTCAGAATAAATGCAATTGATCATGTCATGACGGCGCTTAGGTAAACATGGAGGATAGTTCAATTAGCTACAAACCATGTGTATTTTCTCATCGTTAGTCTTAATCCTTTATTTTCACTGTCTTTTATAAATTGCCAACATTGTCGACAGCTCTGCGGCGGACGATCCTTAAAGCGAAGATTTATCTGTAGTTAAAACATTCGAGAAAAATATTTTCCCTAACAAATTTGTTTCTATACACGAGAGAGGAACCCGGGTGAATGAATCCGATATCGGATTCGACAAGATCTGATTGGGTCCAGCCAGTCTATAAAATCCGATGGAATTTTTGGTCATCGAACCACTAACGGATCCGACGGAAAAAAGCATTTAACTAGTTGACCATTAGTTAGTGCCTCAAGCCAACATTAGAGGGTAGTTCGAGTCGAGCGTTGCATCCGTCACAATCCGGCAGTAGGATCCGATGATTATCCAATGTTATTCCGACACTAGGGATTCGTTGATTTATTGGAAATTCATATAAAATCCAATCGAATTTCCATAGGATCTTATCGGGCCCAAGTGTCGGAATGATCCTCTTGGGGAGAGAGAGAGTAACTGCATGAAATGAACGATAAGATCAATTATTTCATGTTAAGTGCTAAAAAGTCATACTAATGTAAAGCTGTGACTATGATATAAAAAATAAAAGTTGAAATATCTTCATTGATTGAGCATTCGTATCCAAATACATTTTGCATAAGTTCAATTGCTATATGGCTCGGTCATCTCTCACTATAATCTCCATGATATGCCTAGTTCGAATTCGAGGGTGTGGTTGTGGGTGATGGATACCATGGAGGAGTGTTCAAATGTGGGTGTGGGTGAAGGGTATATATGTATTCATGTGTTGCATATATCGAAAAGTTAAACTAAAACTAAATCTAGGAATAGATTTAGTTTTAGTTTAACTTTTTCCTTTTCTCCATTTATATTCGAACTCCAATTAGCCAGCTACTCATAATCTCTGACTTGTTGATGAAATAAAGCTTTATAATAATGAAATGTGACTATAACATTATTAGGAGGACTCTTGACACTAACGTGCTGCAGCTATTTTAGAAACATTTGAACAATTTTCTTCATCCCTAACGAGAGTGTCTATCATTTTCCATGTATTAGTACAATTAAAATCTAATGTATATTGTAGAAAATTTAGATTGAGTGTTCATCAGCAATTAGTAAAAATTTTCCAGAAAAAAATATCTTTATATGACACTGATCTGTTCATTTACGAGATTAAAATGCTATTTATAGAACGAAGAGACTGACGTTTATATTGAAACTGACTTGGCCAGATTTTTCTTCTTTTCTTACAATTAACATCAACACATGTTTTTGACTGAAAAATGTGTGATAAACAGAACAGTATGAATCTTTAAACTTCAATAAAGAGAAAAATCCAAAAATATCCATTATTTACAGTCTTCATTGTAGAATCTATATAAAAATTTTGTTGTATTCGATTTCGCATAAATATTATACTGAGATACTGTGCTATGTTACTGGATTCAGTTGTCCTAGCATTTACAATAACTAACGATTAAGGTTAGCGGCTTATTTTATTCATCGAAACTTCCCTTTCATTAAAATGTTCTTATCATATTTCGAGAGTAATTCAAACGCAAGAGGAAAATTTCCATTGATGCTTCCAAGTCGAAATAATTCTGAATATTTTCTATTTATTTAATAGAAAATTTTTGATTATTGCTACTTCTTCAATTCCTCACTAGAATAGAAAAAAGATTTCCTTCTCAACAAAAACAAAAGGAAATCTCGTGGATTCAATTGTTAAGTTTAAAAGATTATTATTTGAAAAGTACAATTCACTGAAGCACTCATTTCAATTATGCCAGCTTTTGCAAGATCTCCATGGAATTAGATAGTTTTGAAGAGACTCATGAGGGTGTCGTGGTAAATACAATGACAAAACTACTCCAACTTACCTTGAAGTTTTTCTTTCTTTCCATTCATCTTGTTGAAACTGAAAAAGAAATGCTTCAAAAAAAAACTAGAAGACTAATTCAGCTTGGGCCATTGGATTATACTCGTTAGTGTAGTCTTTTTTTTTCTTAATTAAACATGTATAGATATTTACGGAAAACTATCGTGAATGCAATGACATATCTCAAGAAAATTAGATTTAGGGTTCTTTGTGTTTTCAGAAGACGTTCTTCATTGGATAGGGTGTGACGGCACACTCATTACTGATATTATCTTGGTGTGTGTTATTTCTTTTTTTAGCTTTCCTCTCTTTTTCTCTTGTTTTGCTTTTGCGCCTAATATTGTTAATATTCATATATAATTATTATTCTTCTCTTTTTTCTTCAAGCTTCTTCATATATCTCTCTTCTCTGAGATTTACCTACACTCATTCTTTCAATACATTTCACTCATCATTCGAGTGTATCTCTTCTACTACGATTTTTCTTCTTAATCAGAAATAATCATCTTTTTAATTAATTGCATATTACTTTCTTTCAACTTGATTGTTCCATACAATCACTCCAACTCGTTTCAGCAATTTGCTTGTCGAGTTTTATTCTCATTTATTTTTGTTCATGGAATAAACTATTGAATCTTCATTCGACATTCAATACCATTTAGTTTTCATTGCTGTCATTCTACCATGACTAATTTATTGTAGCACTTGACATTTTTATTAGTTGCGTCTCTGCTCATTATCAAGGCGTTACACAGGGGCTTGGCAGTGTTTTATAAGAAGGTTAATGACATTAATAATCACTCTCTTCAATGAAGTTAGTCAAGACATGCCAAGCCAATTGTATCTGTTGTTAATGCTGCTTTTGGTGGATGTAGTTATTTTCAACAGTTGCCTCTACTCGGAGCTGTTTTGTTGTCTACATAGAAAATTTATAAACACTTGTCTCTTCTTCCTAGTTTTGTTTCAAAACAGACTTATCGTTTCAATACGCATTTACAAATGTGATAACGAAATTGAGCATAAATCAAAAGATAAAATAAAATGGCAATCAAATAGACTCACTTGCGAATAACAAACTGGTAACATTAGATAGATAAATAAATAGATACAGTATTAACGGTTAACCTTTTCAACCTAAATTAGATAAAGGCATCGTTGTTTATTCTGGCATTGATCATCTTCAATATTTGAGTTCTGTTTCACAATGAAAGAGAATTAAATCTAGAAAAAAAATTAAAATGACAATAACTTTTATATAATTACCAAAATATTTGACTATGGTCAGTACAATTGTCAGATACAATGTTAACATCGTTGGGCAGACATTTCAATCGAAGGACGCTATTTGAACAATCCAACGATAGAGTCAAAAAGAATCATGAGTAGCATATGCCATATCAACTATTCATGTGCAAGGTAAGGTTTCGTGCAAAGTAAAGTGCAATCAATTTCTATCTATATATTCTGTCAAGTAAATTTAAGAATAAAAAGACTTCTTAGTCAACTTTAGAATTACTTAAATTTAGATCAAGTTGAATCTATTTTGTAGTTGAAACAACGATTAAAATGATACTTGAGGATTCTCTAGGCGCAAAACACAATTACTCATATTTGAATTTTTCTGCACGTTAACAAATAATGTCAGTAAACTAGTTTATCGATATCTGAAATTCATCTAGTTAGACAGTATCTTAGAAGCTTTACATCTCTATATTAATCTTCATTTCTCATTTTTTTTAAATGACAACTTCTTATTACTTACGAAAGAAGACTTACATAGCATTTCAATGTGTTCCTTTTACCCGAACAAAATATCAGCTAGGATTGACAGGTACAAACTACGCTTAAATCATGACATATTTATTCCTGCAGTTGTCAAAAAAAATTAAATGAAAACAAAAGCAGTGTAAATAATGTGTATTTAATCAAAAGGAACCTGTAAATAAGTTAAATATAAAATGAATTCAACTGCAATTAAATCAAACTAGTATTTTAACTTCAATTACGCAGAAAAATAGATTATATTTATCTCATATATAGTCGCAGATGTCATTCGCATGCTGAACGAATGAAGATCTTTACAGGTGCGAATATGACTACGTTTAGTAAATATATCGCTATTCTTTTTTGAGGATGTATTGTTTATTTTAAGAAGCCCATCTTTATCATTCCTCGTAATCTATGGAGCATTCTTTGCCGTTCTAATAATCCGTAGTAAGATGGCGCCTGATACTCATATTTTGTACTTGGACACTGTGACTTGTAGTATAGTTTGAAAGAATTACATGCAATAAGTACTCAACAACAAACTCAGAGTTTACCTTTCAAGAATCAATAGTGTCAATGCAACAAATGAAACTTAATTTCTTCATTCGAAGTGTTTTCTTCTGACAAGGAATTGTCAAGTAAAAATGTACAATAAATATTCACTGTGAGTATTTTATTTTTGTCGAATGTTGCAGTTTTTAGAAGTTATTTCCTGACATATTGTGTTTTTTCTTGTTTTCGCATCTAACTAATCAAATTAAATAGTCCCTGAGATTAAACAATTTTTCATAAGCAATGACAAATAGTATGCTATATTGCTCTGAAGATGTAAATTGAAAGGTGTAAACTGTAACTCTCCCATAAGAATAGCATTCATCATAATTCAGATATAATCCGGTGTATTAGAGTCTTGCATTTTTCATCTTGCCTGTAGTTCAAGTCGAATTATTTTTCTTTGTATTATTCATCCTTGTGCACGATTCATGGCACAATCGATAATTCAGCATGATTGCTTCATCGACAACACGTACGCCAACTGATATTCACTGGAAACACTAGAATGAAAAAATATGCATAAAAGACACGAATTGGTTTCATATGAATTCTAAGTTAACCGGATTATCGCTAGATTTTTCTAAATGAGCTTACTGAAAAATATCTCGGTTCCACGAGGTAAATATGTTGATGATTGCATGTCTGAAATCATTGCTTTCTAGACTCTTTCTTCAGTTCACATGCTCATAACTACTGCTATTACATGAATTGAACGAGGATTCAATCAAATCAATGTCCTTTACAACTTTTCTAAATAGGTAATTCCATAAGAAAACAATCACGCCTACAAAAACAGGAAACCGATTCTGATGAAAATTTCAGGGTTTGTAGAGCTTTTGATTCTAAGACCTTCAATAAAAACATTTTCGTCAAAAAGTTTTGAACTGACGCGAAGATACGTTCAAAATACTAAAAGCAGTGAAAATAAAAATAAAACTAAGAAAAATATTTTTTTACAGATTTTTACACGAACGCAAGGTTCAAAATGAAAATGAAAACCATATTCAGATTTCTCAGGGAAAAGTGCATCGAATCATGTTCATTTTAGAGCCAGTAATCAAAATAAAAGTGTCAGAAACATTCTGTGAATGAACAGCACCAACACAAAAAAGAGTGTTATTTTCAGCATATTTGTTTTCACAATTACTAAAAAAAAGGTCGAATTGCTGGTGACGGTGGCATGCCGTATTTCATAGAACGTCACTTGCTCTACAATCCTGATGATATACAATATCCAGCGCTTCAAAAACACACGAAATATTTGATGAATATTACGAAGTACTGCCTTTTACATGTTTCTCCAATGAGTAAATTCATCGAACTTCCACTGTAGTGACATATGATTGACGCTTTTGAACTGAATTCGATTCAATACATCTGGTGGAGGAAAGATTTCTACGTCTTCGGGCTCAAACCGCTTTGAGAAATATTGCTCCACTCTTGAGATGGTGACATTTTTCTAAGGACACTATCTACTACTAATGTTACAGACGTTCCGCTGTAACTTAAATCAATTCACAAAATAGAAATTTACCTTTCTATCTAACCAATCAACAACCAATTTCGTATTTTCGATTCCTAATCTGAATCTTAATCTTCTTTTTATTATTCCTTTTTTCTTTCTATTTATACTGTACAACACATCCACATGTGCCGATATTGATTGCACGCTTCGATGATTCTCCTTCCTCTTCCTTCTGTTCTCTTTCCATTGGTGTAATATCTCTCTCTCTTGTCTCTCTTCTATCTCTCTCCTATATATACGTGTGTTATGTATGAAGTTGTTACACTCTAGAGATGTCAGATGACACAATATACCATCATGTCGACGGACATAGGCGACACTCTCTAGTTGTGTCGTTACACTCTGGATATGTGGATAAACGAATAAACATCATTGCCGTGAGTGGCTGTAAGCTACTCCACCTCTATCCAGTTTGTCAATACGATATAAACTCAACAGAGTCTTATTCATCGTTACACCACACACCCTTAAATTTGCATGATTTTGAAGCATCTATTACATGGTTATTAGATTTTAAACATCGACATCGAATTTCTAGTCGAAAGATAACACAATTAGTTACACTAATAGCACATCGAAAGTAGAGACGAAATCAATCAATCAATCAGCTAATACTTTTGTTTTGGAAACAGACAAATCAATCGAAAACCACAACTCTACCGAGGTACTCAACACTAACAAAGCCAGTATTAATTTGGAACTTGTTGGTAATCGAACATTGACTCATATGGGAGAACAATCTACATGGTTTTCAGATCGGTCAACTAGCAACACTACTCATTCCTGTACCATACAAAGTACTAAAGCGTTGAATGGAACTGTGTTCGGTCCACTTTATCTTTGTTTGAAAGAACCATCCGGTCGCATAAGCGATAGAATAAAAAAACCTTATTTAAAGCAAAAAATATTGTGCTTGCGTGCTCGAAAAATGATAAATTAACACATTCTCTTGTGACTTATTGGCGTGACCATTGCTTAGTGCCAAATCTTTCTTCAAAAGCTTTACTACTTGTGGATAGTTTTCCAAGTCACGCTAATCCAGAAGTAGATAAAGATTTGAAGAATTTTGAATATCGAGTAATTCCACCAAAAACGACTTCTTTTATTCAACTTCAACCACTTGATATATATTATAATCGACAATATAAAATGATTCCACGACGAGTCTACGATCATGTGAGAGTTGGTGAAATAGATATTAATTTGGTAGAGCGTAATAATATTATTACGCTACAGCCATTGGTACATTCATAAATCTGTTCAACAGTTTTTCAACCTATGATAAAATATGCGTGGCACAAAAGTAAATTCTTGAAAGATGATCCTGGTTCATTTCAAAATGTTAAACAGATTTGTTTCAGTATTGAAACAGATAAATGTTATGTACAATATTGCATTGATGGTCCAATGATAAGACATTCATGGTGTGCCGATATAAGCACTCGGCCTATCCTAGGCAATGTACATAACGACTTTCTCCTCATTGTCATGTGTATTCTATCTTCCTCTTTGTCGTGTTCCTTCTCGTTCTCTCCGGTTGAGTGACGCGCCCCGGAGAAAGAAAGTGTATCTATAAAAGGAGAAGGATGATTGAAATAAAAGAGTTCGATATCACGATAAAACATTCTTATCGTTACACATGGTGCCAGCAAGAAGTTTGCTTTTCTCATTTTTTCTTTGCTATCATTATCATTTAGATATTTTTACAATCTTTCTTCGACTGGTCATTTAATTTTTTTTCTATTTGTACTCTTATTTTTATTTATTTCCTTAATAAATAACGTTATATTTATTACTAATTTTATCGTTTTTTCTACATTAAAAGTCCGAAGTAGAGTAACCTTCCGGGGCTCCTCAATAAGAAAAAAGACCACACACACCAAAAGACAGAGAAATGTGAAACTTTCTTAATGGAAAGTCATATTGAACTAAGAATTTCATAATCAATAGTAATCAATGAGATAAACTAGTGATGAAATAATCAAGTGAAAAAAATATTCCCTGATAAAGATGTTGAAGACCGAAAAAGTGAATGAACACATTGATGATGGCGTCACCTATCATGCAACTTGTTAGGCTCGTAATTCTGAAACTAAGCAGCAATGGCACGAATCCTTTCAGTTCTTTTATGTACATGACTAGTCCTAGCTACCAGCAAAACCTCGGCTCGATAGGTTGGTATCCCTTGGAAATGTTCCCTCGTAAGTAGATATAATATTAAGAATACCACCTGATGAACTCCCGCCAGGACAGAAACAACCGTTGTCGTGGTACGGCGATATAATTCTAAACATACACTCACACCCTTGCCTCATGTACGTCAGTATGTTGCTAAAAAATTCGTTGAATAACTGATGACCAGTCATGATCAACGAACAGTCGTCGATAAAGCTGCGCAAAATTAAGTAAGTGAGTCATGCCGTAGCAGCGGCATTCTTGTACTAGCGTATGCAGTTTTTCACGTGCTATCCGCTGGTTGTTTGACGTTTTTGGGGAACTACAAAAATAATATAGTTCTAAGTCAATCTTTGAAGAAATTTGCGAGGGAAAGAGAAGTTTCTTTCTTGATTGCTTGTAAAGCGGGCCCCGGTTGATCGCGTTATGCTATTCAGATTGGGTCGAGGGAAGCGCGGTTTGAAAGAGCGAAGAGTTCTCTTTCTTCTGGTATTAAGCACTGATGGTCTAGAATGAAGGATAATATTTTTCAGTCTGACTTGAATTGAGAGGATCCATTCGGCAAAATGTTTTCCATTTTCCCTGTCGACTCCCATTTACTGCATTGATCGTGGCTTAGCAGATAATGATCCAAGAGAAGGCTAATATTTTGGGTTCTGTGTTACAATTGCTCAAGAATTAATTCAGAATAGTTTAATCCAAAATCTAAAAAACATTTCTTCGCCCAAGTGTATGATTTTTGCTAGGTTTTCTGGTGGGCAGTCTTTTATAGTTCTTCGAAACTCTAATTTATCTCGAGTAATTAGTATGCAATTTATTTATTGTTAAATAACCAAAATCCATGCATATTATGTGACAAAAACTCGCTTTCTCTGAGCGATCTGTTACATTATACATTGTAATTTTGGTTTTGCTTGATGATTAGATCGAACTTGACCAAATCTTTCAACTGCGACAATTACAAACTTTTCTCGAATCGCATGAACCGCCTCTATAACCAAGGACAAGACAATGTGCAGCACATGCACTGTCACCAAAGGAAAAGCCACCCAGTTGAAAGGACAATAAATCACATGTAATACGTGGTTGCGGTACCATTGCTTGGTCACGACCATCAGCAATTGCTGTGCCATAAGCCATACCAATCATGACAACAAGAACGGCGACGACGACGACACGAAACAACATACTTGATGAATTGATTCCTTGAGTACTGACAAATCTCGTTGAGAACTGTGAAAAATATTTTGACAAGTAACTATGGAGTATACCTGCGTTTATACTACTTGGGCGAAGAATAGTTGTCTTCTGACAAGTATAAAAGCCAACATGTGCTCGAAATCGCATGAAGTAGGCTAGGAGTGGCATTTTATGGGGACTGGCCCATCTCTGCCGGTGGTAGCCACTTCATGTGGACACATGCGATTCAACACCTGGTGACATTCCCTCGTGATTTACTTCCTAGTTATTCGAATAAAAATACGGGGAAATGGTATTATTCGAGATATTAACGAAGACCAACAAAAATCATCAACATGGCTCGTATCCTGATTCCGCCTTGCTCATGCTCGCGTTAGCATCGTAAATGTGCAGTAAGTATACTTGAGTAAAAGATATGTGAGTCGATTGCAACTTCGTTGTACAATTCAGTAAACAAATCTAAAGTGAGATTATGCAAATCTGAATGGTGTATCTTGTTCTCCATCGTTTTCTGAGTAAATGTTGTGAATTTTCTAACTACCAGATGCTTACGGACTGAATAATCAGTTTTTCGCTGTCAAAATCGGCGAAGTTATGTATCCAAAATGTCACTTTTTTAACGAAAACTGGTTCTACATTTCACGATATAGTGTCAATTTTCCCTACTTCTGAGTGTGTGAATGGCGTGAAATGTGTACCACGAAGAGCAACTACTTGTAATTTATCATGTCTGAAAGTTTCAACGAGATCTGACAAGTAGTTCAATAGTTACGAACAAAAACATTTTTAAAAACTGGTTCTAGAAAGTGAGTGGAAACAGCATATTTTATTTTTTTTGTCTGACTTGCAAGACGATTTTCCAGACACTTGACACGGAGAATCATAATATTTTCAAAGCTCTTTCTTTTGGCCACTTCAGTTTCTCAAAATGCCGTCTCTGAACTTCTTGACGCTCAATGTAACCTGGTTCTACACTTTGTTTGTCAAAGAGTTTTCGGTCTGAAGAATCGGGGAAAGCAACAGACCTACCAATCTGAAATATACTGTTACATGCAGAATTGAATTTTCTACAAAATGCTCAGTTCAGATTTCCTTGTTTTCCTCGTTCGTTGCACTAAACATCCATTTTCTTTCGGATGACTCATCGAAAGGGTCGTTTTTTTAATTTCGATATTCACAGCTCTGTGGGGTGTCACTTTACAGAGCTGACATTTTCCGCAATGACGAAACCAACATCACAGAATCTCTTGGTGACAGAATTTTGTAAAACGGTTACTAAAAAGAAAAGTTAGAGCAAATGCACGCCGAAAATCCATTTTACAGAAAAGTTGCAATTGACTCATGTATAAACTCTCAAATATATAAACTGCCCGATCTATTCCACTGTCTTTAGTCATTGGAGTGTTTGGCCAGAATTGCGGTATGCCGATGGGAACCTGCATGTTGCAAGGATTCCAAGAGTGTATCGATCGGTACCGCGTATGTGGCTATATAAATGGCTAACGCAGAACAAGCGCGCCTCTCTGGCAGACTTGTACATGTAACAATTGATTACAATGGCGATGTCGCACGAAGTAACATTCATTCTACGTATATGTATTCTTTTTGTAGTGTGCGACACAGTTGTATTTATCTATTTTTATGAAGTAGCTACAATAAACTAAGCCTTATGAGAGAGTCCATGCTAAAATCGACATGATACACAAGACACATACTATGAAAATGTTTTGAGATCCATTTTATTTTTTTTATACGGGACGAAAAAACATGGTTGAAAACTTAAAAATCGAGTTTCAACTTCTTCTATTTACCCTTCAATAGTTATGAAGGAAACATGGAACACCGCTCACGAGATCCTGTGAAAATGTAAAATTGTCGGTCTTGTGAAATCATTGAGCATTTTCCTTTGAAGTTTTTAATGAACTATTACTTGTAATATATCTAATGATTGAGTGAAGTTTGCTCTACAAAATAGCATATAAACTCGTTTGTTCTATATTGGATATCAATCGTCAGACTTGAAAAACAGAAACGAGAAGCAGTCATTTTCGCGATTGAAACCAATTGGCCCAGAAGTTTGGGTACGATGTCGGATAGAGTGGAGTCAGGTTTAAAAAATCAGCATAGAATTTTGAATGATTAAACAAGAACAGGTGCTGATTTTTTGGGTTACAAAGTGATCGAGTAGCTAGAAAAAGTGGTCTTCGCGGTTTTTTGCCTCATTATGCTAGTGCCTATTTATGTGGTTGCAAAACATGTGCTTTTGTAGCTTTATGTTCAAATGTATATCGTTGTATCAAAATATTTGAAAGCCTTTATAGTCTTCGCATCGATCAGAATGTTGAAAAGTTTCCATATACTCGAGAGAAAAGTAACGCGTCACATTTTTGTTTTTGATGACGTTCGAAATGCAACGCACATAGGATATGTATTTTTCTCCTTTGCATGATGGGCATATATAAGGTGCCTCTTTCCAACCCATGTAAAAAAAAAGCCTAAAAATCAACATTTACATGATTTCCGTCGATTCGTAGTTCCAATAATCGATGAAAATATTGTAATTATTGTTAGCTATAGAACTTTAGTTTTTAATCTTTTATTTTTTTTGTTCATAAAAAAACTTTTACATCAACCTATAAGAACGAATATCTCCAGGGAAGCTAGACAGAGAGAGCAAAAAGAAAAGAAGAGAAAAGAAAAGCAAGTGCATATATGTATATATATATACATATATGTACTTGTGAGGTCAAATCATATATAACAACAAAGACAGCAAAACGCTACCTCGATAACACCTCCCCCTTTTCGAAGATGAACGTCCGCGTTCATTAAAATTACAATAGTGCAATGAAAGTAATGAAAAATAGAGGGTAGAATAAAACCAAATAAGATAAAAATTGCATGATACTTTAAGATGAACATCAGAATCATCAGTGTTAGTTACGAATGTATTGACTTGTGTTTTCATAACGGATTAAATCATATCAAACAAGATCGAGTAAAATTTCTTATTTAATCTTGTGGTTCAAATATTGGTTTCATTATATTTGCATGTACTTGTCTAACATAATTCGAGTGTTCTAGTTGAATTTCGTATGTAACTGGTCCAAGAATACTAATTACACGATATGGTCCTTCAAATATTGCTTGCATTTTATCATTCCGTACAGCTGGTTTGGCTAGTATTAATTGTCCTACATTAAAATGAATATTTGGTCGATGTTCGTCATAACGTTGTTTGCTTAATTGTTGTTGTTGTCGGATGTTGTTCCGAACCTGATCGATAATATACGAACGATATTTGCGAAAATGATAATAGTAGTCATTTGATCTTTTAAATTGAAGCATAGGTTGACGTGTAGAAAATGGTAACGTAGGTTCTTTTCCATATATTAGTTGATACGGTGAATATTTGGTAGTTCGATGTTGACCAATATTATATGCATAAATAGTTGATAATAAAAATTGATCCCAATTATTTCGATTTAAGTCTTGTAATTTACATAATTGTGACTTAATCGTCGCATTAAAGCGCTCGATTGTTCCATTTGTTTGTGGGTGGAACGGTGTTGAGAGAATATGATTGATTCCGATGTCTTTCGTGATTGCTTGTATCAAATGATTATTGAAATGCGATCCTTGATCCGTCAAGATATGTTTTGGAATATGACCATATTTAAAAATTACATCTTCCACCAAGAATTTAGCTGCTTCAGTTGCTGAAGCTACTGGTATTGCTTTAGCGACAACGAATTTTGAAAGATGATCAGTACAAGTAATTATATATTTATTACCATGGCTAGTAGCTTCACGTGTTGGACCCCAAAAGTCGATACCAATAAGATTAAATATATCATCAGGCGGCTCCGGTGTTTCTAATAATCCAGGTGCTTTCTGTCGAGATATATTGTATCTTGCACATAGTAAACATTGTTTCACATAATTTTTAACGTCTTGTAACATATTGGGCCAGTAATAATTATTCTTGAGTTTGTAATAAGTTCTATCTGATCCATAGTGTGCAGATGTTGGATGTGTATGACATGAATAAAGCAGATCATTAACCATACATTTCGGTACCCATGGTACCTTCCGTTTTGTTCGACTTGGATATATTTCAATAAGTTTGTAAAGCACATTATGTTCAACTACAAATAATGGATACTTACTTGGATGTTGATGTATCTCGAAAATTCGATGTTGGATAAGTGGATCATTTAATTGTTGACGTGAAATGTTCATATGATTAAAACCCGGTTGTGATGGTGAATCTTGTGCTTGAACTGATGTTGGTATTGATTGATGTTGTAATTGTGATGTTAATATTGGATTTCGTTGTCGATTCGATTCATTATCTAGAATAGCTTTTTGGGCACGAGTTTGTACTGCGTTATTATGTGAAATATGAATGTCGTTTTCAATCGTTGATGGACGAAATTCATTGTGAAGTGGAATATTGTCTTCATTATATTCATTATCATTAATATCATCATTCGTATGTTTCGATGATATAGCTCTTGATAAACAATCAGCGTCTAAATGGCACGAACCACTTTTATGTTTTATGTCAAAATCAAATTCTTGTAATGTTAATGACCAACGATACAATCGTTCATTTCCAGATTTATGCTTATTTAGCCAGCAAAGTGGATGATGATCTGTAATAACGGAAAATTTTGTACCATATAAATAAATTCTTAACTTTTTAATTGCCCAAACAATTGCCAAGCATTCTTGTTCGGTAACACTCCATTTACGTTCAACTTTAGTTAAATTTTGTGATAAATACACGATAACATGTTCCCTTTTTCCAAGCTTCTGTTTCAATGTAACACCGATACCATTTTTCGATGATGCATCTGTAGCTAATATAAATGGAATATCTGGTATTGGAAATTTCAAAACACATGGTTCAGATGTTAGTTTTTCCTTTAAAGTATCAAATGCTAATTGTTGTTCTATTTTCCAAACAAATTCTCCTTTCTTAGCTTGAAAGCGTTGTAAATGATAAGCAACATTCGCAAAATTCTTAATAAATGAACGATAGTAATTAGCCATTCCATAAAATCGATGAGCTTCATCATATGTTGTCGGTGTAGGAATATCGATGACAGCTTTAATGTTATTCTGTAATGGTCGATAACCTGCATGATCAATTTCATGACCAAGATATTCAATTCGTTCATATACTAATGCACATTTAGATAGATTAAGTTTAAAGTTATGATTGTTCAGTGCATTTAATACAGCATGAACACCTTTAACATGATCATTAAAATTCGTAGAAAATGTGATAATATCATCTAAATAGACTAAACAATGATGACCTAATAAATTTCCTAATACTTCACTCATAATCCTTTGGAATATGGGGGGACCATTGACGAGTCCTTGCGGTAACACATTAAATTCAAATAAACCGTAAGGCGTTATGAACGCAGTTTTATGTTTGTCTTGAGGATCAATTGGAACCTGATGATACCCACATTTCAAGTCAAATTTGGAATAATATTTAGCACCGGCTAATTTGTTAATAGTATCATCCATTCGAGGAAGTGGATAGCTATCTCGAATGGTGATAGAATTCAACTTACGATAATCAACAACGAATCGCGGGCTTCCATCATGTTTCTTAACTAGTAATACTGGTGATGCCCATGGTGATTGAGATCTATTGATTTGACCATTCCGTTCCATTTCATCAGTTAGTTGTTGTTGTTGTTTCTTGATTGAATCAGGAATACGATATGGTCGTTGATAAATAGGTGGATAATCTTGTGTTATGATACGATGTTTTGTTTGCAAGTTTATAGCTTGAGATGGTTTACTAGTATCAAAGACTTTCCATTCTTGTAATAGTATTGGACGAATCATGTTTTGTTGTTCGGGCTTCAAATGTTGAATCAATAAATTAATATCTTGTAAAATGTTGGTCGGAATAATAGAGTCAGATTGAGTTGGTTCAGTTAGTTCATTGATACTACAACAGAGATTAGTTAATGGAACGTGACGAATTTTACCTAATTTAGAATTTTTATTCAATATACAATCATTATCAGTATGATTAATAATATATAACGTTGTTCGATGATGATAAATATTCAATAAACTATTCGGAATTAATATGGAAAGATCTTCTTGTAATTGTTGTCGGGGACGAAACAGAACTGTATCTGCATTCAAAATTGATGAACAAAAGGCATCGACTGGTTGTATTGTTCGAGGTTTGATGGTAACATCGTGTACTAATCGAATATTATATTGTTGACATGGATCATTAATATTATCGTCATACGTTGATATATATGGAATAGACTTTGAACCATTATGCGTCGTAATAGTAATACATTGATCTTTGCAGTTAAGGATTGCCTGATGCTTCTTAATCCATGTTTGTCCTAAAAGTAAATCTATGTTGGTTCTTGGTGATATATAAATTATTTCATCAGACAAATATTTGTCAAAATCTACTGTTAATATAACATAGCCAGTTACATCGACTTGTGTACCGTTCATTGCTTGAAAGTTTTTATCAGTTACATGTATAATAGCCTGTGGATAAATTTTGGATAACGCTTCAGGACTAATGAATGAATCGTCGGAGCCTGAATCAATCATAGTTTTCATAAGACAATTATTTATCAATAAGTTAATACATGACGATGCTAAATCTTTGATGTGCGATGTAGATAAGAAGGTGTTTAGTTTAGTTGGTGACAAATCATGATTTTCCTGTTCTGTATTAGGTTTTATTAAACATTTATTACAAGTAGATTTGAAAGGTGTTTTTAAATGTTGTGGTGGTTTGACTTCATTGTTTCGGAGAACACGCCCAACACTACGTGTCTCCTGACCTAGTTTAAATGTTGTTTAGCTTTAAAACAGTCGGGAGCTTTATGCCCAAGTTTGCCACAGTTATAACATTGAATCAGTCGATGTTGTTGCATTCGTGGTTGATTATAAGTTGGTGTTTGATATGATGATGAGCGATAATGTTGTGGTTGATCGTTATAAAATATATTATTACTGTATCGGTTGGGTTGTTGAGTGATGGATGAGTTTGATTGAGAACTATTGGTTCTGTAAGATGCTGCAGGTAATGCTGGTGTTGTTCTGGTTGTGGATGATGCGATATTTTCATCAATACTAGTTACATGTTGTTCAAAATGTGTTCGCTTCCGACGTTCTTCAATTTTCTGTAATACAGCTAATAATTCTTTAGGTGTGGAATATTCTCTAATTAATAATTGATCTTGAATGCTATCAGGTAGACCACGGATAATATAATCAATACGATGTGAATCTGAAACCGGATATTCTTCCTCTAATAAATCACATTTCCTCATAATATCAGAGTAATAGTGATGCATAGGTTCATTGTCATAATAATAACGATGTCGAATAGCATCTTCTAATTCGATGCGTGTTTGTTCTTTCTTTCCTTCAAATCGGCTAATTAATTTATATTTAAATTCATTCCAATCTAACTTTTGACGTCGAATAAATTCCACCCATTTATCATCAATATTAGACAATAATTTTAGTGTGCGATAGCATTTATCAATATCCGTAATATATGCTTTATCATATATGAGTTCGATTTCTTCTAACCATGAATGAATAGATTGTGGTTCTTCACCTGAAAATTTTGGTAATGTTTTTAAATCTTCTAGTACCAAAGCATGATGTGCTTTAACGGCTAAAGTGTCCGATATATAAGCTGTATCTCGTTGTGGTATTATATTAAAATTAGTCGATGTACCAAGGAGAGAATCGTTGTGATCGGATGTAGTTGTTGATTGATATTGGTTTATCATTAGGTGCTGAAAACTTTTCCAAGTGATCATTCGATCATCATTAATATAAACAAATTGAGCAGCAAGATCGAGCAAATAATATTTGGCTTTGTTCGCCCACATAGTTTCATCATATTTCAAATCAATAAATACACTTTTGATAGCTGTTAGCCAAGAATATATGTTTGTTGTTCCATTATAATATGAAATGCGAGCTAGTTCTTTATCTTCGTTGATATTCGATGTGTTGTTAACTGATGCTTGATTAATAATTTCTGGTAATACAGTCATTGTGGCTTCGGTTGTATCGGTGGAAATGAATGATGAAGAGGTGATCTTGGTTGTTGATGATTCCGGTTTGGGTGGTGAACATGTTGTGTTAGTAATATAAAGATCAGCCTTATTAGTGTTTATGTTCGACATACTTGATTGAATTTCGTGTTCTTCTTCTTTCTGATCAGATGTTGATTGAGAATTACTTCGCTTAGACAAAAACAAACCGGTTCTCGTACGTACCATAAAATTAATACTAATGGTGAATCAGGTGATGAGCTCGGGTCCTGTATACCTTGTCAATAATCTAATTCTAAATCTTCTTGAAATTCAAGAAGCCGGCTTAGTGCACCAATTGTTAGCTATAGAACTTTAGTTTTTAATCTTTTATTTTTTTTGTTCATAAAAAAACTTTTACATCAACCTATAAGAACGAATATCTCCAGGGAAGCTAGACAGAGAGAGCAAAAAGAAAAGAAGAGAAAAGAAAAGCAAGTGCATATATGTATATATATATACATATATGTACTTGTGAGGTCAAATCATATATAACAACAAAGACAGCAAAACGCTACCTCGATAACANTATAGAACTTTAGTTTTTAATCTTTTATTTTTTTTGTTCATAAAAAAACTTTTACATCAACCTATAAGAACGAATATCTCCAGGGAAGCTAGACAGAGAGAGCAAAAAGAAAAGAAGAGAAAAGAAAAGCAAGTGCATATATGTATATATATATACATATATGTACTTGTGAGGTCAAATCATATATAACAACAAAGACAGCAAAACGCTACCTCGATAACAATTATGCTTTTTTTTTATTAACTTTAAGATTATAATCGACTTTCACTCTAAAAAAAAGGTTCCGTAGATTTGGAAAATCTTGCAAATGCATTCAAATGCTCAAAAAACGATTTTTCAGTTCAACGAAACCTTTAAAGGTTCTTCCCCTTGGGGACACGGGAAGAACCTTGAATGCGTGGTATTTTTTTACAAAACCTTTTTCCGCTGTACGGAACTTAAAAAAGGTTTTGCAGGAAAAAGGTTCTTCCCGTGTAAGGGTGGCACTTTATCTTTACTTTACCCGAATAGTAAAGTAAAGTTAAGTTAAGTAGTGAAAATTCCAAGTTAATTTTTGATTTTTATCTTGCCGTTAGCGCATCGATAACTTCACAAAAAATAAATCGATACCTAAAATCTTGTCTTTATTGTTAATTTGAGAATAAAAATTGACAAATTTGTAAAATAGATAGTTTGCATGTACACATAAACTCGAAGTTTATCTAAGTTCTATATGCTAGAGAGAATATTTTTTATCGGTATTTTTGAATAAGGCTGAATTTGTGTTGATGAAAAGTGAGTATTAATGAAACGTACTGTGCATTTTCATTGTTGACCTTCTTAAGTATAAAATATTAAAGTAATATCATAGGCATGAGATTTTCTATGATTTTTAAAAGAGAAGTATCTGAAAAGCTCGAGCAGTACACTAAATAACTATTCATCGAGAAGTTCTTGAATCTCCTTGTGCATTTACTTTAACTGATGAATAGGCTTACTGATGTAATATCCTGAAACTGACACTAGTACTTATATACTCAAAACAAATGATAAATAAATGACTAACTATAGAAATAAAGCATGTGTTGTAGGGAAAATTAAAATCGTTCGTGAATTTTAATTTTCTCTAGGGAAATTTAAGATTGACCTAGAGTTTTTATTTTCCCTTCAACATATACTACATATATTATAACGTAATTCTAGTGTCACAATAACAAAGGTGTAAGTGATGATATGTTGAGAATAATTTTGAAAGTCATTCCTTGACTAAGATAAATTTTTCATACAAGCTTGAACCTATTTTATTTTGAGAAACCAATCATCTAAAACCAGTAAAAAAGTCTTATTATTTTACATTTGATTTTTCTAATTCCTAATTTACACAAGTTTCTAGAAAAATGCTGATAGATAAAAAAAAGAAAAAAGTGAAAAGATAAATGTTTGCCTATTCACGTAAAATCATTGAATATCTCAAAACTGTTGATGAAAGTGACGATCGAGCTTTGCGCTGTAAGTATCCTGCAATGCTAAATGCCGACTCACTGGTAACACTTATTGCAGGTATACAATTGTATATTTTAACAAACTGTGACAGTTGAGGAAGAAGCATTTCGTGCTGACACCAGTATTCACTGAATTTAGAACTTGAACCGACTGTAGACATATAGTGACACAGCACTTCTCTAAATGATAACTGATTTTGATGGAATTTGTTGTTACATTGGATGTTGAAAGCATTTCGCACATGCGAAAAATTCATCCAAAGTAGATTTTTCTTGACGTGTTGTTCTATTTTGAATACGTTGGTGTCCTAATGGTGTTGATGTTGATATTGACAGGGTTGTTGTTACTGAAGTATCAATTTGTAACCGATCAAATGATTGGGTAACATCAAATTCTGATAAAAGTGTTCTTTCAGCTTCACTAATATTTTCATCAGTTAAATATCGATACGATGTTGGATCTAAGAAAGCTGCAATCTAACAAAATAAATAAATATTGAATTTCTTTGTGCAAAGAAATTGTCAAACTTATGGAGCTATCTAATATACATATTCGAAGATCTGATGTGCAATAAAATATTGCTCTTATGTTTAGTCTATTTTGTAGAAAAAATATAAATAAAATATGATAGATCACATGTATCGTATTTCTTTTTTTCAAAAAACCTGGTTCGTAAAACAAGTTCTAAATTACTCGGTTTTCTGATGATTTTTTTGCAAAATATTATCAAAGAAGATTATCGAACTCTAGTAGGAATAAGCACCTTCGCTAGATATAATGACTAACATTATAATAGAAACGTCACAAGCTGTGACGAATCTTATGCATGTTTGCCCACAGACTGCATTTATTGCGTCTCTATATAATACACTAACTATCTGCCTTTTGACATTTCGGAAAGACTAAGCAAGAATGTGCTGTAGAAACGTGTTAAACAATTCAGAGAAGAAAACAATCACCAAATGATTCGTAAAATCAGCTATATTGAGTTCTACTAAGTAAGTGCGGGGGCTTTACTAAGAGATTTTCTCGAATAAGAATTTTTTTTGAGTTAAAAATAAAGTAGACAATTATATTAACTTAGATTATCCTAGCTCAAAAAAGTGCTTTTTTCTAAAAATTATTGATGTCTTTCAAAAACTCCATAACTTTAATAAATGTAAATCAGTTATACATACTAAAGTTGCACGCTTTTGTTCCCAACTAATTTCTTGTTCAAAATAGTAGCTAAATTTAGCTAGTAACAACTGTTGCAATGGATTTTCTAATGGTTGATCATCTTTGATAGTTGTTAAAAAAATTTTCAATCCTGGTGAAACTAAATTAGCAATAGACAGGGTTGGATATTTTGATCCTTAAAGCAGTGTTGTTGCGCGATAAAATGGAAATAAAACATCTTTTAGTGCTGCCAATATGGACCAATCAAATCGAGAAAATGATAACTGTTGAAATTTTTCATATTGCGTTTTTTTCAAACCAATTTCAATACTAGATAATAATGTGATATCAGTAATAATAGAACTTAATGCAATGAACCGTGATATCATGATATAAGTCGTATTCCATCGAATACGGAATTCCAAAACAGCATTGTTTAGTTTAACTGATTTAACGCTTTGTTCATGTGCAGATCGAATGATTTCTATACTTTTCAATCGTATTTGATTTCGAAATTCGAATATATAACGATCAAGCACACTTGATTTTCGAATAAATTTAATTAATTTTCTAACACGTTGTAATAAATTGTAAACGATTGATGATAAATCACTAGGATTAGCAGTAATACCAATCATTGTTTCTTCATTATTTCGACGTTGTTTGCTACCATTTAGTGGCAATAAAGCTTCATCGTCATCTTCAACTTCATTATCATCACTACTATCCGATGTATTTTCATCAGATAGTATATAGGAAGTACTATCATCCTTTGGAAAATTGTGTTGATCAGAAATATCACTATCATAATCATCGTCATGTACTTCTTCATTATCATCAACACTTATTGCTTCATCATCATCATCATCATTATCACTATCAGTTTGTTTTGGATGGGTTGTATTTGATGAAGATTTAAATCTGTGGAAAAAAAATAAAAGTTTGAATACGTTTAGATTTTACGATTTACTATCTATATTTTTGTTAGATTTTTGATCCATAAGCAAGGGGGAAAAGGCGGACTTTTGTACTTCAAGTTACTTCACGGTACTTTGAAGTTACTTCAGGGTACTTTCAAGTGACTTTAGGCTACTTTGAAGTACTTCAAAGTACTTTTCGAATACTTTGAGCTACTTCTAGCAACTTCGGCGTACTTCAAGTAACTTTCGAGTTACTTCAAATAACTTTGACATACTTCAAGTAACTTCGACGTATTTCAAATAACTTTGTAGTACTTCAAGAAACTTTATCTATGGTAGAACGTCATGGCACAACACTAAAAACATATTTATTACATATTATGCGATGACTTTTGTATTATATTCTAACATTTCCTAGAAAACCTAGCAAACACATTTAAAGTAAACAAATGTTGCCGTGATTTACTTAAAATAAGCAATGAAAAGTAAAAAAACATCGAAGATCACACCTACATTAAATGAACTAAAACTGAGAAGAAAAACGTTCAAATGCGACTTCTTTTTACTGGATGATTATTCTGTGACTGTGATGCCAAACGACGTTTATTAGCTTGCATACTCTGATTTACTACGATCTGGAATGCAGTATGAGATGTTGGCATAGAAGTTGGAGAAGCATCATCAACTTCATCTAATTGTGAATTTGCTGAAGATGAAGATAT